GATATTTCTCACTGGAGATATTTTGACCTGGAACGGATAAAGCCGGGTTCTTTAATTTTCATCATAGGCTGTTTTTACACTAAATCGTAAACCTATTTTGAGAAAAAAAACGATTTTTCTACACGTGGTTTTTATGTTCAACAACGGAACGTTGACATTTTCTTCAATTTACTTAAAATTAAAACATCTGTAGGTAGGTTAGGTATGCAAATATATTTATTCGTAGTTTTTTTTTTTCATACGAGTTCATACACAAATATGGTATACTATGAATTCGTCATTCGTCAAATGTCAATAACATAATATTACCATAAAGACCAAACTAAACTTGTTCTGAAATATTTATTTTAATTATAGGTACGGACATATACATGGTATACTCGTTTTAAATAACCAGCTGTATAGGCAAAGACATGATTAAATACAAAGGTATGATGGCAACTCTGTGATATGCAGGTGTTATGGCCATCATTGGCAGTGAGTTTTTCAAATTAAAATATGTAACTGTAGCAGAATAATAGGTGATACAAATCACTGTCCAACTAAGTTTTCTCTCCGCGATGTTTCAATAATTCGTACATCGGTGAATATACAAATACTCAGTTCACAATACAAAATGTATGAAATCATGAACATCCCACGATGATTTTGTCTCATTTTAAACGTAAAATGACAAATTATTGGCCAATATATAATACATTATATTGTGGTGTATTTTGTAATTGACAGTTAAAATCTTAGGATATTTTTCTACGTTTCGCGCGTTTTCCCGGTGACATTTTTTGACGGAGTTATTTTAAGAGATATTTTATATTTTATTTTCTATAGAGAGAGTGTATTTTTATAAAGTTAATATACCTACTGCTGCTATCGGTTAACTGTTTAGTCCTTCCGGTAAAAATTTATGATGGATGACTTGAAACGCAGTGTCGAAAAATCATATCACCTCGAATGAGTATCATATCATTTGCATCAAACACCCTCTACAATATTGAAAATCGTTTGAACCAGTCAAAACACCGATTATTATAATATTATGTATACGTTATTTGCGTCATTTTACTAATCTGATCTACATTTTAATGTTCATACGCTGTTCGTGAATAATGAATATTCAATAATACATCATCTTATGAATATTGTATAAAAAAAACATTAGCTGGATAGCGATAAACAGTTTGGATTTATTTTAAAGTATCGTATAGTAAACAATTTGAATTTTTTTTTTTTAATCTAGTAACAAAGATACAATTTGTTCAGTATAATATATATTATAATTTTGAAGACAATAGTTCGAGAACTTTTGGATGAAATATTGTATAGTAATTACACATATTATTATTCCTATAAATTTAGATTTCAACAGAAACAAATGTTTGTACAAGATTGGAAATTGATAAAATTGTTATCATATTTTATTCGGGGTGAAAATATTTAGTCGAATTTTCTTTGATAATATAGAGGCCAATTGCATTTCTTCTTTTCCCCGTTACATTTGCGGTTAAAAGTTATTAGCAGCTCTTTCTGGACCAAATGAGCTCAAACTTGACGGATAAAATACTCAGACATTTGAAACCTATTCAACAGACCGAACATTCAAAATATCCAAAAGAATGGAATGGCAAAGCGTGATTTGATCGATAACGCGGGTATTAATTGATAAACCGTTTGGATAAAGGCCACGAGGAAGGTCACAACAGCACTGGATGAGTCGAGTAAACAATGATTTAATACGGATTGATGAAACAGCAATTATAGAAGACACAGGACAGAAATGGTTGGAGAGACTTAATGGAAGTTGCGAAACGCTATAAAGGCCTTATTTATTATTTTGTAATGAATATTGTAGATATTACACAGAATAAGTGGGAAAATTTTCGATTCTATGGTGACAGAGCTCTGCTGCTCACGGGCGTTTTTTTAATTTTCTGTAGTTTAAAAAAATCTCGATGTATTAAAAAAACGAACGTAAATATACTGGCAAATCTCTATTTTTAAATTATATTATTGTGTTGACGTTGTTAGTTGTTACTAACCAACACAAATGTAACATGTTATACACACGCACTAGCTTTTTAAATCAATTATAATGCAAATATAAATAAATGTAATACCTATATCTGCCAAGGTATTAGACTATAAAGACTGCATCAATAAAATTTATACTATAAAAGGTAAATTAATTAGTGCCCAGGGAGTTGTTTGTATAAAACATTGTTGTCCCTTCCTAAAAAAATTCCATCCATTACGCCAGTAGGCCCCACATATACAATTTATAAAAAGCAATTAATAAAAACTAATATTGTTCTTTTATATATTATTTCACGTTGATGTATAAATAATTATAACGTAATGGCCATAAAGTTACAATAATTAATTTAAAACTTTTTAGTTCCAACAATGATTTTGTTGACATTAATAATATGGTTAAAAACCATAGCAGGTGCAATTTTGTTTTTTTTTTTTTTTTTTTAATAATAAAAGGAAGTGTGGATCTGTGTGTGCTTGTGACACACAGCAAAATCTATGGCACCCAGAGATCTAAAATTTTGAACATGATAATGCAGGAACAGATTGGAAAGGGGGGGGGGAGTTTGACAACTTCTCAAAACTAGATTTTTTAAATTTAAATATCGACACACGGGCGCTCGCAATTTTCTATTTTGGACTTTGAGTTATATACAGTAAACGTTAAACCACCTACATACCTATATGACAAACTAAATTTTAAATATGTAGAAGCAAATCATTTACTTAACATACATAATAGATATTATTTTTTTTTTTATAAATATAAACATTAATTAAATATTGTGTTGAAAATACGTCTTCAGTGTATGAACAATTTTAATTGGCAAAATACCATATTATAGTTTGATATGTTGACCACAGGTAATAAAATATTTACATTGAGTAATGGTGGAGGTGCAAATCAACCATAATCTATAATAAGTAAAATGTAAAAATGTTAATAAAATATTAAAATGTGTAAAGACAAGAGATAAGACAAACGTACAATATTATATAAATTATTTGAAATGATTTTAGATTCTTTAGAAATTTTTAGTTACCTAATAAAAATAGTTCTATAAATTACTAATAACTAACTACATAGGGCAAAACACGGTTAATACTATACATTTATTATTATTATTATTAGAGCTCGGAATCAGAATCATTTTTTAATCACTATAGTTTATCATTGCTTTCGGTATATAAATTAAATTACTCTGTATCTAATAATTTGCCCAACAGTATATAAAACACAATTTTGGGGGAGGGAGGTCATTAGTAAAATAAAACTCGTATTAAACTACGAGTTGTATTTTGTATAGTTACTTGAAAATGTTGTAACCATGATTAGAAGCTACAAGTTATAAAAGCAACAGAGTCACGTAACTTTGATATATACTGATTACTATCCGTCCCTGGATATATTACAAAAATAATTATTGAGAGCATCACAAACGGTATGTTAAAACAGATTTTAATGGTTATGAGGTAAAATTGTGTATATATAAATATTCGTTTTGTTTTTGTAATTTCAATTGCCACATTATAGATAGAAGTAAGTATATCCGTCATTTTTATGAGTTATAATTAGGTATGTTAAATTTTAAGAACCAAGAAAAGTGTTTTGGGGGTATCCGGGCACCTTTACCCTTTATTCGTATTTACGAACATTTCGTTCAATAAAAACTAAACAAAATTTCCCATTTATTTGGAAATTTATTAGCCCACTTGAAAAAAAAAATCCGAATGGCACCATTGAATTTAAATATGATTATTAAATATAGATTCATAATTGCCAATGTTAAAAGATAGATACTAAAATATATGTAGTTTAGGAATTTAAAAATTGTCCCGTTTTATTTTTTTCTGGTTACGGCACTGATACTTTATATTCAAATAATTTACGGATAGATATAGCCGTTTTTTAGTAATTAAATTGAATACTTGAAGCTTCATTCATTCATTACGAACAAATTCGTCATATCGTTGTCACTGTAAAGTTATAACCGGAGAAAATCGTTTCAACGTCTGATAAAAATGTTAAGAGTGAATAAATCAAACCACTTGTCAAATAATATTGATATCGTCATCAGCACACGTCATGAGCTGTATTAATACAAATATAACGACTTTAAGTGCATGAGTCATCGTTATGTCACTGTTGCATTCAGTGGTGTGCCAGCGAAGGGGTGAGTGGGGTTGATATTGTCTATCGGCTTGAAAATGCAGAGGCTGTGAATATTCAACTAATAATTTAATCTATCTAATGGGTGCGCCACTGATGTTGGTGGGACGTTGGGAAGGTAAGTTAGTTAATTTATAACTGTAAGCAACGATAAACTATTGCTATTGCTAACGAAAACCGATTCTAATCGAATTTCGGTTACACACGTTTTGAAAGGCCGTAATACTTAAGATTTTCGTCATAATTTAAAACTCATAAAAAATAAAAATAATTACTACATTACACTCAATTTCTCAAAAATATGTTTAACTTAATTACATTAAAAAGCGATTTAAAATAATACGAGAATGTATTCGTAAATTTTCTCGCACTTTATTTGTATGTTTCGGTTTTGCTTAATTATTAAAAAAACCTACAAAGAAAATCAAAAAAAAAAAAAAAAAAACGATTCCCTTCGTCAGTGGCTTTATATTAAATGGAACAAAATCGATCTCTTGTTATTTTTCGATCAGAACAATATTTCTTGTAGAAACCATAAGTTGCACAAATTAAAAACAATTATGAAATCGGTAATGCCGCGGCGCGACGCAAATATTTGCCGTTTTACCTATAATTTTTTTTCGGGGTTTTCCAAATTATTTCCCTTATGAAACCCTTTGGAAAATCAAAAAAAATGACCTCTCTAATGCACCCACTAGAAAAATTACCTTCCAGAATAGGTGCTACAGTCTATATACTTCGGAGCAAGTTTTCTTTGCGAAAAGTTCTTCACAGACAGAAAACAAAAAGCACTCAATATCACAGTAAAACCTCGCCGAGCCCCGAATCTAAAATAACAAGCGAATGTACCACAATCGTGCATTTGGCCCTTATCACGAGTTAGTGTATAAGACGAACTCCTTCAATACGCTTGAATTTATTTCTTTATGTTATCATTTACCTAATTCACCTACTACACTCGCATTCGATTTCGATGTCACAGTGATAATTTAAAATTCGTTGAAATTGTTGGGGTTGCTAAAATTATGAAATTCACGAATAGACGTAGGAGGTTTCATTCCTCCCCCCCCTCCCTCACCAACATTACTCATTGCCAGTATTAAGCTTATACTGTTATTATACCCACAATGTTGTCATTAGAAAAAAATGTTATATTTTATTTTATTATATTCAACTGTGGGGACGATCGATTTTCGGGCCCGCGAATAATGTAAACATCATCACGCGACCGGCCGGAAGAAATTTTCCGGCAATTCAAGTAGAAAATGGGCGTAATTCTCTATTACGAAGCCGAAATAAAAATATTTGATACGAAAACATTTCCAAGTTCGTCGGGCCTGCGTGTAGCCGGCTTCGGAAAAACGACGTGCGATATTTTGCCTGCACAGAAGCGGTGGGCCCTCGGATGGCCGCTCTATAAAAATATTTGGGTGAATGAAAAGGAAAATCGACCACGGCGGCCGGGTGGCGGCGGCGGCCTCGGCAGCGGCGGTGGTCTGGCCTGGAACATCTGAGCGGTCGCCGCCCGTTCGCTCGCTGCCGCCGCCGGCCCTGCTGGGTGTCAAGTTGAATGAAATCGAGCGGATCCCTGACGCCGGCAGTCGTGCCATCCCGGCCGCGGCGGGGTGGTGCACCACGGTGACGGGTGGCCGTCAGGTTGGTCACACCGATGTGAACGCGCACACACGCAACACACATGGGCACACGTACGCGCGCACACACATACGGGCAGCTCGCACCCGCACACACGCACGCACCCCCAATTCGCACGCGCGCGCGCCGCGCGCACACATATACAGGCCCGCACACCCACACGCACACCCGATAGTCGATAGCGCGCGCGCGCACACCGCCAGGCCACGGGCGTCAGTTCGCGTTTTGCGCTTGCTCTATGACGTTCGCAGTCGCCGCTGCTAACGAGCGCACAGCGGTCCCCCACCCAAATAACCACTAGCCGCCTCCGGTTCGATATTATCATTATATTTTGTTAATTCTCCCGATGAACGCACACTAGTCCGGTGCATGTACCTACCGCAATAAGCGTTATCGATATCCGTGAGTTTTGTAGTGTTCTTTATTATCATTATTTTCTTTTTACCGGTTCCGCGTTCTCGCGAGTGCACGTTTGAAAGTTTCACTCGCGTGTCGTCTTTCCAAGGGATCGCCGCGCCAGCCCCAAAGTCCGTTCGTCGACGGTCCACTGCGTGGACCGACTCCAGATCAGCCAAGTCAGCCAGCGCGTGAATCATCGTTATCATCGCCGATTCCTGGGTCATGCGTCACTGCGTGATGTACTGCGGGAGATGGTCTCGATGACCGGCACATCACCGGTGCGTCACCGTTGCGGTTAACGGCGGTCGGTGGTGCGTCGTCGAACGAATACCTCTCGGCACGCGCGTATAATAGCTGCGCGCATTAAGATTTCAGCCCTAGCAAAAGTCGGCCGGAAAATGGGCTGTGCCATGTCGGCGGAGGAACGGGCCGCGCTGGCCCGGAGCAGGCAGATCGAGAGGAACCTCAGAGAGGACGGCCTACAGGCGGCCAAAGACATAAAACTTCTGCTGTTAGGTGAGCAAACATCATACTCCGCCCTAACGGCGATGCTCCTTTCGCAGAGTAATTTCGTCCACCGACGAACACTACGGCGTCGACGTCTTGTCGCCGGCGACGAGCGTACGTCTCTCTATATAATGTCTTCTTTTGTTGTTTATTATTATTTTTTTCTGTTTTTGTTTTCTCGCGCTTGAACAATAATGCAAATGCACTCGGTTCCACGATAAAACGCATACGGTCGCATGTACACTCACACACAGCAACGCGTGTGCCGCATACACGCAGAAATGTACGCACGGCTATCTCTGACTGCACACTCGCTGTCGTGCACGAGTCTGGACGGACGAGTGAGCTAGAGAGAGAGAGAGAGTGACAGAGAGAGGAGCGGCTTTTGGCAAGGAACCCGGAGGCCGGCCGGCCGGCCGTCCGCGATTATTTCGGTGTTCCGATAGAAAAGAAACCCGAATACCCGTCTGATACTTTTACTACGGTATACGATTTTCTCCTGTTTGGCGACCGTCCGAAGGCCGACCGTCATTTTTCGCGTTATAAAATAATAAGAGCGGCGCGTGTCCCGGGCCTTTGGCGGGAGAGCTTTCCTCACCCGCCCCCTCATCCCCATCCCCCGTTCCCCCCCCCCGTGTAGTCGATATGGGTGATACCTGTGAATAACGAGACGTCGCGCACGCCGTAGCCGAGTACGCACTTGACGTGGTTTCTCGTCACGTACCCGCCCCGCCACCGCCGTGCACGGCCCGCAGCTCCCGCGAGGGTGGCGGCTTACCGTCCCCCTGTACACCGCTCCCGGGGGATGACGACGGCGACCAGCCGCCACCGTTGCCGCCGCCGTCGCCACCGCCGCCACCGCCTTCGGTGGCGAGGAACAAAACGACCGCTAATAACCTATCGTTTTCTTATCGAGAATAACTATGTAATATCCATGCTCGCGCGTATGTGTATATGTACCTATATGTATTCGTGTGTATATAATATATATGTATATGTGTATATAGGTGGACGGTTCCCGTCAGGAGTGGCACTCCCGTGTCGCGCGCGCGATCCCTGCCCGCGCCCATAGCCGACGCCGCCGCCGTTGGCCGCCCGGCGCGAGAAATCGATTTCACGCCGCCGCCGCCGCCGCCACCGCCGACCCTTTAGAGCGCGGCGCCCGGTAATGGCTACGTCTGTATACGTATACATAATATTATGTACGCACGCACATACATATTATATATATATATATATATATATACGTACATATTTTATGTATTTATATTACTCGTGTGTGTGCGCGCGTGTGTATATACGGTGGATTTTAACGTCGGGTTTTGTTCTTAAACGCTCTGGATTTTATTATTTTTTTTTCTATTATATTTTTTACGGGCGCGGCGGGGTGCGGGATAGGGGAACGGCCGGGGCGGCGTCGGCGACGGGAGGAAGAGTTACGAGCGCGCGCGCGCGCGCTCGCGTGTGTGTTTGTGTGTGTGTATATATATATATATACATATATTTACGCCCGTTTCGAGATTTTCGGTATACATACGACCGTTCTCGAAATAACCGCGAGTTACGGCGTACGGCCGATTTGTCGAAATATATCGTATTCGAATAACCGTGTCTGCGTCGTCGCCGCCGCCCGCGCGTCACGTTCCCGCATTTTTCGATACACAACATTAGTATTATTTCTATAGCGATGGGCTTTTCAACCCAATGCCCCGTGGATCGGTTAACTTGACTCGATTCACTATAACGTCGACCCACCGAGTCGACTCCCAAGTTCCCAGTTCATTAACGTCCGGTTTTCAATCGCATTTATTCGTCTAACCCATTATGTATGTAACCGTTGTGGTATAGGCGATTTTGCCGGACTTCCGAGTCAGTTACCCAGTAGGTTACTCGTCGTCGTTATAACTAATTGACGTCTGTATATCGCCAATAGTTCAAGAACTGATAGGCCTGAAAAACTGATAACACACATCTGTGATTCGTGAGTTGTATTGAATCAGCAGTAGCACTGAATCATTGAATCGCTCAACTATACCACACTGCACAATCAATCCGTTCGGTTCACCTAAGAGAGTCAACCCACTCACTACCCACCTATGATTATTTCGGATGTTTACCCGCGCGCGCGATTGGATCTACGACGATTTATCGCGAACAGGGTGTAGTCTCGATTAGCCGCGGACCCCTCCCCCCCCCCGAACCATAAAAATAACTAAATCCGATCGACAATTTTCCCCATGCATTCACCGCACTTTTTTTCGTACCACTCTCGTATTAGACCCGATAAATCAAAATAAATACCGGCGCGGTAGCTAAATTTTTATCGAATTTTTATGTACACTGCGACCCCCCTCCCACACTGCGCGGGCGGATAGGCCATTTTCGGACTACCGGGTAATTTCAAAAAAACTGCACGAATTTACCGATGACCTTTATTTCGCTTTTGGTCTCCGGGTGTCATTTATAATGCTATGTTACGTCCATTATGGATGAACCGATAGTTCGGTAGTTTCCATTCGGCCGTGTCAATACCGAGGACCCTGTTGGAGCGGCCGACGGGAGAACTCCCGGCTTCCCGGTACGCCTGACCCGCCCGTGCCCCACAGATTTATACAGTAAACTCGATTGCTCGACCGGTGTTTAGAAGCGATGTTTCGATCCGAGGCTCCGCGGGCCTTTTCGCGCGATTTTATACCGTGACCGACAACTGTTATGTCCGTGCGATATTGTTAACGGTTTCGGTCATCGCGGTGGAAAAAAAAAAAAAATGCTCATTCAACAGTTATCGAACGAAAGCATACACGGTAACTGCGATTGAATGACGGGGCCGTGCGGCTCCGACCAAAAGCATTAGCGTGTACGATCCGGCAAAACTAGTTTGTTGTGTACCGTAAATATTGTGCATCTGCGACTTGGACACGGTCGCGAGTCAAATAACAATATTTTCGAGCGGTTTTCTAAAACGAACTGCGACTGCCGCCCTTGTGTAAACCGACTGCAATATCGCTGTACGGCGTGTAACGAGTGTGACAGCTCTCTTTCTTTTTTCCGGAATTTTCGGTGTATATTCGCATTGTGCGTTGGTCCTGGGGGAGTGCTATTACGACGGCGCGTGCATCTCGGTTTTCGTTGTTTTACGGGATGACCGAAAAGCGCTTTAGGGTACAACAGGTTCCGATATAAGTGACGTGCGTTATCGTTTTCGTGATTTACAGCGTAACCGCGATTGTCTGACAAAACGAATTGTGGAACAAAATCGGAAACAAAACATTCTCGGAAACGCTCCGACACCCGCTTTGCTCGTGTCGATAATAATCTCGTTTTACCGAATTCCGAGACACGTAGTGCGCTGCCGTTCACAGTGCTGTTGCAGTATAATCGACGGTATCGAGAATGACATCAATATCAAATGGGCGGAACAAAAAATCGCTCGGTGAAAAAAAAAAACATCAGGTCGAAAGTATACGTATGCGGTGCGAAGAAATGTGGGATTAGCGAACTTCTCGAAATATATTATTCGTGACTCTTTCTCTGCTATTTCCATCACCCTACGTGGACCATTCGCGATACATCGCAAACGTTTGCCATTTACCGTTAAAAGAAACATCGCAAATTTCTTTCTTTTTTTTTTTGTGTGTGTGTACGTGTGTTTTCCCAAAATTTGTAGGTCTCATTGGTTCCAAAAAGAAGAAGGGCTTAAGCAAATTGTGTTTAGTTATCAATTCGGTAACAGATTTGGTTTTGAAAATACACGAGACCGTTTAGAACAAAAATTATATTTAAAAAAAAAAAAAAAACAAAAAGCCAACAATTTGTTCGAGTCCATTTTCCTTGTGGCCGCAGAAGTGACCAAACACATACAACAGTGGCGGATCAAGACGTTACTTTTGAGAATGGATGGGAGGAGCAAATTTTCCCGTTTCCCTCCCTTCTGCGGATCCACTACAGATGAAAAAATAGGGGGCGGGGGAATAAATGCGCTGCGTTCGCATACAGTGTCACGTCCAATAGAAATATTCAAGACGTGTGTGTGTGTGTGTGTGTCGTTTATAATAAACTGTCAGGAAATCTTAACATTGTGAAACACATCGCGGTGATGGTGGAGCCCAGGCAGGTAATAATATATTGTTTTTTTCGGGTCTTCTGTATAAAATATTTGTACGATCATGATTTTTATATTATATTATACGATCCACGATAGCTTCTGCGCTGTGTAATTACGTTACACCACCACCACCACCGCCGCCGCCACCACTTGCGACCGCATGCTCCGGCAACCGGTTGCCGTTGTTTAAGATTTTCATTTTTTATACACAATTAGTTACCTATTATATTGATTCGACCGGTCGTATATTATTACATTTATATACCTAACACCTATAATACGATACTATGATATCGTGTCAGGGAGAGAGAGAGCCGAATTATCAAACAAACAATTATTATTATTATATTCGTGTTACGGAACCGCGCGTGTTGTTTGTATTTTTATTACGAACCGCGTCCGAGTAAAACAGTAACCAATTTTGGTTACCAGCCATAAGTATTTCCGGTGAATTTTTTCCGCCGAAAACTTATCCGGACCTATATTGTAACCTATATATAGAGTATAGGTAAGTGTAAACACCGTCGAATTATTACGAGACATATTATTTTCGACGGTATATAAATATTATATGAAAAAAAAAATTAAAAAAATAATAATAACAAACAATACATTAATTGTTTTATCCTGTCTGGCGATGAGCTTTATTTTTAATTATTGAAAATTTATATAAACATATATATATATATATATATATATTAAAAGTCAATACCTATATATAAACAATATCAATAATATTTTTAATGTTCAATTTCAGGTGCTGGAGAATCAGGGAAAAGTACGATAGTCAAACAGATGAAGTGAGTTTTGTATCGCATTAATATTTTACGTTTAAACAATTATATTTTGTAACGCGCGTATTTGATATAACATATTAAAAAAACACCCTCGAGCAGTAGAGCTCCGTTGCTGGACTCGAATTCCTTTAGTTTTTTTTGTATACATAGAAAATTCTTAACATAACGAAAATTAGGTAAAATAATCTTATTATACTACAGCTATAATAGTATGCTATTATATATATATATAAAAAAAGATGAAATTTGAGCATACAAATAGTAGGGAAGGGGGGTTAAACCACCAAAAGATATATTCCTGATACTATAATTACATATGCACACATAACATTTTATCCCTTTAGCTTCATTTAGTAGGGGTGTTTAATGGTAAAATACACACCTTCCTCCAGCAACAACATAACGGTGAAATCCGTATTAAAATTCAAATCAACTTTTATTACTTCAATCAGCCTATAAAACAACTTTAATTACAGAGTTTGAGCTCGTTTTTAGTTCAGAGGGAGTCGTTAGAAATTTTCAAAAGTAGCGGAAGAAGAAGGAAAAATATGAATATTTATAACATTTATTATTGGTCCCAAGAAAGTAAGAAGGGTTTTAAGTTAATTTCGTGGCTTTTTTTTTTGTAATTGTATCTCATATAATTTTTTCCCATTATTTTCTGAAAATTAAAACATCTTAAGTCATTTAGATTTACTTTCAATGCAATGACCTCAGTGATTTACAACGCTTGCATTTAGTATATTCGGAGTTTCTAATTTTAGTTTTTACGAAATTCGATATTAACTTTTGTATGTAAATTACAATAGATTGTATCGGTTACATAACCTTCATAATGTTATAATATTACAGAAATTTAAAGACTTTAAGGCGCGTCATCAATTGACAATTATTCATAATCAAATTGGTTTTGAATATAAAATTTAAACAAATATTAGATTATGCAAATAAAAGTTAAAAGCCCATGTTATGAAAAAAAACGTAAATATATTATTTTTTTATGTGTACTTGAAAACAAATTAAGTTGATGAGTATGACCATAATACCTACTCGTGCGTGTAAAATGATTCATTCAAGAAGATTCATTCACAAAAAAAAAAAAAGTAGATCACGAAGAGATAATGACACGCCTAGGATAGTCGTCGCTCATCGTTTATTATAATATTGTTACGGCTGATAACAATTTTCTCGTGTGGAAAGTCGATTCATTATAAGACTACGAAAATACGAATTTAATAAATAATACTAATTACCTATCTATCATGGTGTCGATAACTTAACAAAAAGTTCTGATTGTAATGATGTTATAATTATATAATTTTTCTCTCGTATATGCATTTATCCGACCAAATTATTTGTAAATAGGTAGGAAGGTACCTATAACTATAATATAGACATTTCATATGTACAAGGTGATTAGAAGATTTTTTTTCAGCAGTTTTATCATATTATATAAAATATAGAGAAAATGGTATAGAATATATATTATACCGTATTATTTTATGGGAACTTATCATTTTTAGACTTTATTTTTTTCGGGTGATGGAGGATAATTTTAAAATTAAACTCAGAATTTTCATTTCTTTTTTTGGCTAACGTTACGTAAAATGATTTTTTTTTTTTAACGAATATTAAGGGTCGAAAATTATATTTTGAAGCAATTTTCTTTACTCGAAACACTGAGAGTTTTTAAAAACCTAACATCGCACTCAGGCAAAGAGATTATAGAAACATAGAAATAATATTTTTGAATGTATTATACTTTTCGGTTACTAAAATTTTAATTTTAAAACTTAACCACAAAATCAGACTTTTCCCCAAAGGGGCGTTTTAAAAATGTAAGATATATACCTAGTTTTTGATTATCACCGACTATATCAGTGGTTTCTAATCTTTTTTATTCTAGAGATTTAAAAAAATATCTCACGTTTCCCCGTCCCCATGAATTGAAAAAAATTGATGATACGATTTTTACCTCTGCTTGCGCTTCCTCAGTAATGCGTTCAAGCCCCTCCCTCAGATTGGTAATTATTGCCTTTTATACCTATCATATTATTAGTGCGAATTTTCCATTATACATTTTCTTGCATTTTGTATAACATTTGAATGAGAAAATTGCTGTTACATACAATTCTGATCAGCTTGTACGTATTAATTTGATAAATAAATAATTATAGATAAATTTAATGAATTACAAAAAGTATGATACACAACTATATTAAGATATTACTAATTATTGAAATTTACATGTAATATATTGCTGCAGTACATATATACTGTGCAATTGCAATAAAACTAAAATTATTTTCCAACATTGCAGTGTGGTAGGTACATTAATGGTAATATTACCGTACGATTCATAAATTCATTATCTGTAATAACGCCAATGCGAATGGGTTATTTAACATCATAATGATAATATTATTAATATGTATAAATGTTATATATTGGTAATCAGTTTTTATTTTTTCACGGTTATTGTAAACGTGCTCTGCATATCTATAGCGATATTCTTATGTCAAATATAGGTCGAAAAGAAAATTTAACGTTTGGGGAAATATCGGGTTACTAATATGTGGTCGTGTATTCAATTTGTATAGTTTTTGATATCTTGAAAATTTCAAAAAGAGACTGTCGATAAAATCTCCAAGGCAGCTTGGTTGAGTTCTGATATTAGTTTCGAATTTTGAGTTTAGTTTTGAAAATCGTTTTTCGAATACGATAACAACGCTGTGCCAATTTTAAAATTATCACTATATACTCTGCGAAAGGATTAAAAAAATACAACTGTGATGAAGTCAAAACCGGAATCATTATATATTATTATTGTTTTCTCATTGAATTCCGATAGTATATCGTTAACCATTTGAACTAGTCAGATTTCGAACAAACGTCTGTAATTTAGGTTAGATTAACTGAGAAAATAAAAATAAAAAACACTCGTACATTTATAAATGTATAATATCTGCAATTTTCGATTTCGAATAACAATAAATTGCATTTTCTCGTCGTTTATTTCAAATATTCGACTTTAACGAAACACATGCCAATACGAATTAATTAACTATCGATTCTCTGCAGTAAACAGTAATTCGTAATTTGTTTAGGAATGACTATTTATACACAAAGCAATTGCAATATAATTACGTAGGTATACACCTACTTAATACTTACCTACAAGTTTAAACAATCGTCCCATAAAATATTTAAACTTTTTAATTTTAATTAGGTTTACGAACAAATAGTGTAATTGTTTGGAATGTTACCAAACCCGATTTGTTAAACATTTTTGTTAAAATCAAAGTAGGTAATAAAATTAACTGAATTCCGACATTTTAATTACGAGATGCAAAAATATTTGTTTTTCTGGTAACAAAATAATGGTAATTATTTAAGTTATTTATGCATTTTTCAAAAATGCCGTATGAAGATGAACAAGAATTTTGTGAATAAAAGATGAAAAATGTTTTCAAAATTAAATATCCCGTTATCGTTATCACGCACAACGTATAGTGAGAAATAACGTATCGATTTTATCATGACATGTGTTCTTAATAATTGATTAAAAACGAGAAAATGTATGTATTAACGTTTTCTATTATTTTCGATTTTGTTTTTTTTGGTCGTAATTCAGTTAAAAATAATCGAGTACTGTCATTTCCACCGTATACTTATAGTAATTATAGTCCTCTTTCAAACGTGGTACAGTTTTCAAATTGTTCTAACGTTATTTTTAGCCATGTTTATTGTATATCTACAGCTATAATTTAAAACTTTATGCGGATACAAGTTTTTTAATTTCTCAAAAACGTTCAATATGTTGGTATATTAAGGTTATAATCATTAATTGATTTTTATGACACTATAAAAATATTGAAATATTGATCGTAATAATCGCAGCATTTCAAAATATGTTTTAAATATTAACACGGGTGTTAATATTTATAAACTATATTGAAATTGAATTATATTTTTCGTGGACAATGTTGAAGATGCCTTTTTCGTTGAGGAAGGCAATAAGCTGGCTATAAAATGTAACTAAAATGTTAAATACTTATTTTTTTGTTATCTAGTTTTGAATATTTTTTTTCGTAAAATATTATATTATATTAAACGTATCATATCATATCATCATATACAAAACGCATTATTGATTTGTTATTACTTGCGATTATTGCATTTAATTCTGGTTAAATTTCAATAATTTATTCTACGGGTTACGGTGCAACCTATACTATACTTAGATAATTTTTTTCCTATATTAAATGTTATGCTTGTTATCATTGTACTTCTGATTTATTTTTTCTCTAAACCTAATGAATTATAAGATTCCGGGATAAACTATATAACTTTATTATATAATGATAAATGTTTAAGAATATATATATATGTGTATATTTTTTTTGTTCCTAGTAAATTTACTGTAAAGTATAATATAGATCTTATGTACAAAAGCTGTGATCCGTCCGTCTATATGTGCAATACTCAAGGTACCCCCCCCCCCAAACAATTGTTAAATTCAATTCGAAGTAGTTACAGGTGCCTAATTATTGAAATTCATTACGTATAACTATACGAAAGTTCTCAGGGTGAAATTTTTTTTTTTTTTTTTTTTTTACGTTGATAACTAGAAAATATTTTTATGTAGATATTGGTAGGCACTTAAATTCGTTTTAACAATAATCGTCGTTGTTGTTTCTATCGTTTTATACTCGTATTTCAATGAACTATGGCACGAATCAACATAAACTGGCTAAACTTCTATCGATGCGTTTTTAAAATTAAAAAAATAATAATAATAATACAAAACTTATAAGGTAGGTACTTATAACTATTGTAAAACATATATTATTAATAAATATAAATACGAAATAAAACGTACTCCTATTTAGTATTGGTTTCATTTGTCTTTATATGTACGACTGGTTTTAATTTTGAAAATCGAAAAAATAAAACGTGATTGAATAGGTATGTCTACGCTTAAAACGAGGGATACATAAAATACTCGTGATTACCATGTTAAAATAAAAATTTTGTCGAATAAGATACTTTTTAAAACGGGACGGGTAAATATACAAAATAAGTATAAAAAAAACTAATACATCCACTTAGATTAAATTTTATACCGGTCATATTATACTATATTTTTCTTCTATATTCTCATTTTTATATTCTAAGTGCAGCGAAAAATGTATTGAAGTATATATTTATAATTTATGAATATTAACATTATCGGCATTTCAACTTTCAACCACCGCTTGTATGCTCAAATGTCAATATACCTATATTATAGTACTTGAAGCGCACAGTGAACTTCTAGCGTTGTACATGGGTTATATTCGGTTATTATTTTACAAAGAATTGTATTTCTATATAATATACGAAATAGGGACGGTGCGGGAAATTCGACTATAATATATACATAAATACACAAAGGAAACGAAAAACCGACCTTCCCGATGATACACCGACTAGATCGAAAATGCTACACGAGAGACTACGTTTCTGTACGTTTTTTTGATTGGCGCCAGATATCCGGTAAAAAAGTAGTTTACGATCACAAAAATTAAAAAAAAAACACCGTCGTTCGCTCGTAATGTAAAATGCTAAAATTCTCCTGCCCTCTCCCAAAAAATTACAACAACCGACGACCCAAAGGTCCATCACACACACACACACACATACACACATAGGTATATGTATATATAGATACGACAAGACCGACCACGCCCCGGTATTAAAAGCAACGACGTTAATGTGTACCACAAAACAAGGTTTGATGACTCCTCGGCGGCGGTGGTGGCGTCGCTGGATCGATACTCCCACGCGGTCCCGTCACGCCGGGCACGCGAACGCACCGCCGCCGCCTCCGCCGCTCCGTACACCGCCGACCCGTTATCAATGACCGTCGGTCCGGCTATACCGTAACCATAATATCCCGGTGCACGAAATAAAACCGGGTCGCTGGTTGTACGCGGGTTGGACTGCCTTATGATAACGGCCCGGGAATTATTTTCGTTCCGCCGGCCTCGGTAGTTAAACGGCGGCTTATCATTACTTTCCGTTGCCAGTTCTTTTCCCCGAAAGTGTTACTCACTGATTATGGCCGACCGATAGTCTACGTCATCCTACTGCAGCCTTTGACAGCATATCGCGGGTCCCTAAAAAAATCTAATGCGGTCCCTGACGGCGTATTAAAGGCGCCTCGACAGCAGCCCCTGTCAGCTTATTATTTCCAGCACTTAGAACTCACTATTTTACAGCTTAACGGAACACCTAAATCATATCTTGTGTTGCACGAGACTCGTTAAGTAACCCATTCCGGTTATTCGGTGACCCCACCTGACCTGATCAGATTCGTCTGACTCATTTTTATCGCGGCCTTCCGAGAGATTTCCCCGTATCCCGGTGGTGTAGTCCAACCCTGTGTCCCAGTCAGGTCGTGTGTCATGTCGTGGGCTTTTTTTTGTATTCTAATCGACCGTTATCATCTCGGCAAAGTTCAGTAACCATATTAGACTTACCTAGAAATTTCCAGAATTAAAGGGTGGCTACAACTGTATTGTTATACAATCGATTTTTAAATTAATATTAGGCAATTGCCATTATTATTTCTCTTTGTACGGGTATATGTATACACACTTATTGTGTACCTATTAAATATTAATTATAGTAGGCATCGTATTATAGACCATAGAGCTCAAAGCCTTTTGACCGACATATAATCGATCGATTATTTATTTCGTGAATATTAAAACGTGGTAAAAAAAAAAAAAAAAAAAATATGTGTAATAATCTTTAATGGAAATATTTTATAACCATAATGGCATACTGTGTTACCTGGATTGGCTAGATAACATTATAACGGATGGCTTTAAAACACAGGGGAATAATTCCGGAAATGTTGGGGAACATTATTTGCATGGAATGGTATAGACCAACGTTTCCCGGTTAAACACGCGGCTTGCAAACTCGAGTGCGAACTCACGTCGTATTTTTTATCGGAAATTAACCAACAAGGCGATTTGAAACCGCTTTAATTAACGAAGTAACATAAATACTTTAGAAACCAATGATCATTAATGTTTTACCGATTATCACTGTGTGTTATCAGTTTGCGTTTTATTCGGCCCTTAATGCATTTTCGGAAAGACTGCCAATATCAGTCGTACCGTTATTATATTGAACCACGAAAAACAACGTACACGGTACGGTAACAGTGGAATTATCCCGATGCTATAATTCATATTTAATGCGTTGTGTAAAACATTATAATAACAATTACCTATTATTAATTTAAAAATGTATTTTATAATAATTCAATTATGCCCAGTTAACATTATAATAGTGTCAATGTGTTGGTAATAGTATTTAGCGAACTAGCGATATGGGTAACCGCTATAAACATAGTTTGTCGATCGAGTTGAAATATTGTCGACTTTATTGACAACTGCCGGTGCATTATGATGGTTGAAAACATAAACTGGCCAATCGGGGAACGCCATTTTATACGATCAACACAAAAAAACGCGGAATTGGGACTACAGGCAAATTTCAACTGTTCTCTCGTTTCTGTTCCAATGGTCAGTTATTTTTTTAGCGTTATCAGCGCATTTATCTATGGATACGACACGTAACCCGTATCGTTAGAATTCTGCATTCAAGGTGCCTTCACACTATATCGAATCATCCAAAACGGAGCGTCGTGTTAATGTCGTCTGCTAAACACATGATCCCGCGGTTTAGTTGCTTGAACCTGGTTTCTGGTGGTTTAGTCATTTTTAATTTTTTTGTTTTTATTTGGTTTTAATGTAAATCCAATTTATTTTGCTTCTCAAAAATGCTTGAAAATTAGATACGAGGTTCATCTAATAAATTAGTTTTATAATACTATAAAATTACCTATAAATCGAAAATCTGTAGTAGAAATTTTTTTTTTTTTTTTTTATAGATAATTAAAGTTCAAATTTTGATGAAAATCGTAAAAATCACGGAATTTCGTTAACTATTTTTCGTTTTATGTCTATATGAATACAATTTTTTTGCTCTATGAAAATACGGACAATTTCAACTATTGATGTAGATATCAAAAAATTATTATTTATTAATTATTAATATAATTTCAAATTGACGTGGTTTTACCATTTTACCCTGTGCTTTATCTAATCGACTGTTGTACTAATAACCCGTTGTGGTTTAACATCAACTATAGGTATTTAGTTTTTTAGGCTTACCCTTAAAACATCGACTTCTTTGGAGCAGTATCAGGTTTAATGTTTTAATTTTTGAGGCGGACTTATATAGTTAGGTTTTCGTACCGTACTATTAATCCGAGACATTTTCCCTATTGAAATTGTGAATTAATACACTTGTTAGGTATTTGTTGATATATGATGCATAGCGGGTGTAGCATAACGGACCATACGGGTTTTATTTCGTGTGCGAAGTGATTATAATTATTATGCGGACCGTCTTCGAAACGTGTGGCTTTTTCCCGAAAAACTCGTATAGGAATCTCGACGACGACTGCAGCTAGTGTACGTTGTATATTTTTAGATGCCGGAAACAACACTCATTATATTGGAATATATTGGATTTATATTGTAACGCGCCATATGTTTCTTTGATGAATCGACATTAAAATAATATTAAGTACCTACCTATATAGAGTACAGAAATGTTGAGTGAAAATACATCTACTCGTATATCGAATCGATTTTACGATCACCAATATTTATATATATATATAGACATATACATCATCGGAATTCCTGCACATGATCGGACGAGCATATAGTTTTAGATATTTTTTTTCATTTCGAAAAAAAAAAATGTAATTAAAAAATTCGATAAATTAAACAAAAAAACATTTTTTGTAAAATTGTGATACGTTTCGGATTTTTTGTGTCCTTGGAAATTTCAAAAAATATGTCATGTTGTGTCCACTGCAGTTACCGATTAGTATATTTATTGTGTTTTGCGTAATAACCTTTGCGTCAGAAAAAAGGTGCGTGCAATTCATAATTTGATTCAAGTGTTGGGCAAGTGATTGAAATGGTTTCAAAGCCCTTTTGATCGTTCTAGAATCTAGATCAAGTATTTGCTCTTGTTATCATTACTGTCACGTTTATAATAACAATTTAAAAAACCATGCAGATTTTAAATAGAAAAAATGAATCTCTAAGCCATTTTTCCCTGGCGCCAAAGTTTATAGATTGCGCTTTATAAATCTGAGTAATAAAAATAACGCGATTATTATTTTTTATCTTTATATGTATACAATAATAATATTAATTAGTTTGATACGGTTTATTTAAGGTAATTTTCTTCATCGAATATTGATTGTAAAGCACGTGTTCACAGCAGATAAAAAACGATTTCTTCATATACCTATATATTGCCGTCGAATTCATCGAAATTTATTTACTATTTTTTTTAATTTCCGGATATGCAATAGTTGAATAATAACGATTATTATATACATCGTGTGTTTTGGTTAATAACTAAAATGTATTTTTAGATGATTTTTAAAGTACCATGCTATAGATAATATCGAGGACACCAAAAATCTTTCTCCGATCAAAAATTGTATAGGCAATTTGTTGTAGAATTTTAAATTTATTTGGTGCATTGGGAGGTCGAATGTATAGTTTGCTTAATAAATGGGAAAAATTGGACATTTTTGTAGATTTTTTTGGAAAAATAACAACAAGGAAAAAATACACTCTGCTCAGAATCGCTTTTCGTTAACAATGGTTTATAGTTACATGGTATTACACATGATATTTATACACATACTACCTTCCCAACATTGGTGAGAATAACAATAGCACGTCCATCAGCGGTATGAGCTCTTTTTTTTGTTCTCATCTGGGAACCAAACATATAATGACATTTTTTAATAATGACAGAAAAACTACATTATAATGATTGAAATATTTCACCGACGCAGTGTATTGATTTTTTGCATTGAACAAAAATTATATTTAGTGTGTTAAAAAAATAACACTGAACATGTTCGAGTTTAAACGGAAGGAAATTCCGAAAATATGCAAAATATAATACAAAATCCATAGGTTGGGAAAACATTTCGGTGTACAAACTATAGTTATTATTATTTTTTTTTTTTTATTGCAACTAAAATAAAAAATAAACGGACATACTTTGCACGATGGGTGGACTACTGTTACAAAGTTGAGAGGGTAGAGGGGAAATTTAATATATATCTGGACGCAAAAAATTAATTATTGCTAATGAAAAACGATTCTGAGCGGAGTTCGGTCATACATGTTTTAAAAGGCCGTAATACTAACGATTTGAAAATAATACGTTTCGTAAATTTTCCAGTTTTTTCCAGGTTTTTTTTATTTATTATGACCTCCTAAAGTATCACCCCAGTCAGATTTCTCTTCAGAAAAAGTGCGCTACACTTGCAGAAAGTCGGAGTAAAATTGCTGGTAGAAAAGTTGTTCGCTGAAAAAAAAATAAACATCTCTATAAAACCAACACGTTTCTCGCTCCGCTCAGAATCTAAAATCATTAGTAGATTTCTGTATTCTTTAAGGCACCATAAATATATATACGCCCTAACCGTTGTGCCAATGTAAAATAATATGGATGTATGATTGAAAAATACGATCCGGTTAATTTCAATCGTTTTTGAAATGAAATATGTTATACATTTATCTCATACATGACGGCTAGCGCATTACTGCGGTATTAAACATTTTTATACCCATTCAAAAGTGGAATTGTATATACAGAGCCGGTATAGTGTGCGTTTATAGTTTCTCTATCTATACCTATATACGATGTGTATAAAAAAAAAAAATTCATCAAAAAACTTAAGAATATAATATGTGTTTAATATTTATTTTATTCCGAGTCGGCGACTAAGTATAGAGTACAATAATAAATTGCCGTCCGTATACACATATGAGACAAAAACACTAAACGTTATTGGTCCGGATTAAATTAAACTCGTACAATGTTAATAATATTATTATTTTATTATAGGTAAACGTACGAGTATATCTCGTAGATCACATAATCAAGTATATTCAAGTGCTATAAGTTTTTTTTTCTGTTTTACTTTTAAAATATTCGCTGTGCGTTATTATAATGATTTGAATATGTTATTTTTTTTATATATATTTTTGTTTCTCTCTCCCCCTGCCTCTTAAAAAGAAAAAAAATGTTTATTAATGATTATTATTTTATTTAATTGGTTTAATTTTAATTTTTCAGAATTATACACGAGAGCGGTTTTACATCAGAAGACTTTAAACAATATAGGCCGGTGGTGTTCAGCAACACGGTCCAATCGCTGGTCGCCATATTGAGAGCGATGCCAAATCTGGGAATTGGATTCGGTACCAACGAACGGGAGGTAAGAAAAGCAAGTATTCTCTTTTTAAATGACTACTTAGTACGATCTAAATAGAATATATACACAACAATGCGTTTCTCGGTGTTTTTTTTTTCGGTACTCAAATAGCTTTTATAAGCAATCGTGGCGGGTATTAACTATACAGTTAACTATATAGTTAACGTTTAATTTTTTTAAAACGTTTTTTCGACTTTGATATTAGTTAATTATTTTTATCTTTATTTATATAATTCAGCTTTTTATTTTGGTGCCTACCAAGTTTATTTCCGTAATCATCAAACGAATGATTGAGTCTGGTTTTTTTTTTCAGTAATATTATGTAGGTTAAATATAGTTTCGTCTAGATTTTCCATGTGAAAAACGTCGAATTTGTTCGTAAAAACGGTGGTACTCTTTCCCTTGAAATGCGTGGGTATCGCGGGCAGTAGATTAGTAGGAAAATCGTATTATTAAGGTGGTCATTAGAATGTAAACAATTTAAAATTTTACAAAATCGGAGAAAACTGTGAAAACCATCAAAATCTACTTTAGTATAATAATTACCAGATTTATTTTTTTTTCAAACATTCTCTCCTCATAGTCAATTCTTTGATTAGTTTGCTACATCAGTCTCCAAGAAATAATCCTTATCCACGTATACCATGATATTTTGTTCTATGTATCTACTCTATTCCATGTGCTGTTGCCTTCCTCTTAGGATATCACCTTCTACAGTAATGCATTTCGTAACGTATAGTAGATGCCCTGTTATTTTATCATTTCTGAATATTATGTACGGCGCCAAAATTATCGTTTTTCCTTTGTTGTGCAGTTACAGTGATTCTGTTTTATTTTTCGATGCATTTGTCGATAAAATCACATCGAACATTAGTCAATCAATAATATTATGTTATCACAAATATAGAATAGGTATCATATGTACCTAAAGTGCTCTCTATAAACGGTTTTCGTTATTCCGTAGAGTCCGTTCCATACAGAATGTACAGTTTATTATAACATCATAATACGCACGCATAATAAAATGATCGACGTTTTCCATCAGTACCGTCGTAAACCACTCGACGACGACGACGGTGTGCAGTCGTCAGACAATGTGTTATTATCCTTTTCTAATCCCGTCGTTATCTTTCATTATCAACGGCCGTGGTTTCAAGTATATATTATAATATTGTACATACAACCGTCGTTACTCGACGAATTAAAAAAATACACGTATACTACGGTTTATTTCATAGTAGGTACCCATCGCAGAACAATAATAATATTGTGTACAGTGAAATATGTAAGGTTTGCGTAATATTCAAAATGTTCGTTTTAACGATTTATTTTCGAGTTCCCGCCCCGAACACGTGTACAATAATATTGTATGTATATGATGAGGAAAAAATGTAATATTAAGAGGATTTTGTATCGAGCATACGCTGTCTTCGTTTTACAAACGTGCGGCATAGCAAATTAGCGTTCAGCAGAGACGACTTTGTGCTGTTATTTTTTTATATTGTGTTGTGAAATAATCTATTAATGAACTAATTATTTATTAGAACATTATCTGTGCAACTGCGTCGGTTTTCAAGCGAAATACAGGCATTTTTAAGTAGCGATATTTCGAATACTATCATATCTCGCTTAAAAATTTAAATACCGGATAAAAAAAGCCCGTTTGGTTGCACAGGTAATGTTCCGATCTTTAAATCTGATAATAGATCAATATTCATCCTAATATTAGGACTAAAATGCACAAAGTTGTCCCTGCTGAACGCTAATTTGCTATGCCACGCATTGTTCAAGCAATTACTTTCATTCGACTCGAACGTAAGCTATATATAGTATATCAACTATACACCAGTTCCGAGAATATTAACAAAAAATAAAAAAAAAAAACACAGTCTAATATACCAAGTTTAATAATATTAATAATAGTCAAAAAAAAAAAAAATATGCATAATACACATATATTATTAGGGGTAGATACGAGCTTTTGTATAACATTATTATTATAGTTGTGTCGTAACACGCGATCGTCGTCCGTCGTATAGGGCCGCACGCAAATATATACACAGGGAAAAAAAGTTACGTTTATAATAATTTACCTACCTAATTTATTACTCTACCCTACCGGCGGTGGTATATTATTAAGATAGGTAAATTATTATTATTATGGTGGCGCCGCAATATCGTAAACCGTCAACTGTACTGCATACCTAGGTTCTAGGTGGTTTATAATATTATAGTTTTAAGTTCAATGACACTTTGTTTATCCGAAAATGTGTTTTTTTTTTTTTTTAATTTTTGTATTATACGTATATTGATTTCACACTCTGTTGATCTATAGTATATTGTTCTGTAATTTGAGAATTTCCGTTGGTAGGGTGGCGTCACCATCTATTAAGGCCACATTAGGATTTTTTTCACACACGTTTTATCTCTGCTATTTTGTCCACAGTTATCGAAATCAATTGAAAATGTAACCGTGTATATTCTACAATTGGCCCAATGCTTGGTTAATATTTCATAGCCGTAAGAGAAATACTGTATCAGATATAATTTTTATTTTTTTTAAATTTCATTTTCACTTTCTATGGACATCCTATGCTATCTATGTGTTTGTAATAATTGATACGACCCAGTAAATCAATTAACGTAGATAAATACAATAATAATCATATTGTGGAATATCAAATTACAAAATTATACTTTTTACGAATAAAATACTAATGAGTGGTCATAGCAAGGATACTGGCCATAGGTGATGACTCAACCCTACCTAGTTTTTTTTTTCTCTGTATGACATACATTGCAGATTTCAAAATGTTATGTCAAATGCTGCGGTAGATGGAGGCCGGAAATAGGGTTTTCTATCCGACTACACCGGTGTACACTTTTTGCTTAGTACCACCTATCATCACCCGCAGTGCAGTAGTTAACGCAAATTTCATACGACTACAATTTTATAAGATAAGGTATTGAGATTAAGATAGCGGTATCAAGATGGGGTAGCGAGTTTATTTTTTTTATTCTGGAACAACCGCTACAGACCGCTGTAGTTACATAATCCCCTAATCATTTTTCGGAAAACTAGATACTATACCCTTAAGTATAATGTACAGTAGATTTGTGGCGATAAAAATCGCAAAAATAATACATTTTTGACTATGGATGGTGTTACAGAGTGTGTTAATTCGAAAATAAACAAACTATGAATCAATTTTAATATAGCTACGAGCTTATATTGATGTTCAAATTTGCTCAGGTGTGCTAAAGTTTTATACTGTGTGTAATGTAACTTTTTGTTAAGAACGCCCACGATTTCCTATATTTTTATTATATTTTGTTTTACGGTTTTTATTACGTGACATAAATCACACAGAACCAGGATGCTGCAGTATTCGTTTAAATAACAAATTAAAATTATTTAAAATGTCGAACTGTTGGTAGTGTAATGTATATTTATACAAATATAAGATTTTGTTTGCGCATCAAATGAGATGGCTTGCAGTGTAGTATTTAATGGAATTCGATTTTTTTTTCTTTAACAAATACGATTAAATATAATATTAGGTTTTTTGCATTTCGTTATACATTAAATAAACAAGGATAATTTTTGATTGAATTTCGAGTCGTTCAACAACAACAAAAAACAAATAAAATAAAACCTATAGCCGGACAACAATATTGCACTCGAATTGAGAAAAACCGTAAATTATAATACGACAGGGATGAAACTCGAGGAAAACGAAAATCCTCTGTCCGGGTTAAAAAAAAATCACGGCACCTTTGGCAAGTACCTATTTTTCCGAGAAAAAAAACCGAGTAGAGCTAGAGTGAGACGCGGCGGATTCCTTATAATTCGAGCACGGATATTTATCGTGTCCTGCGGTCAAAGTTTTCCCACCGGAAAAACGACGAGTACCGGGACATTTTATAATATTATTGTTTTGTGCATCACCCACGCGTTGTAATATTGTAATGCGGCGAATTAATAAATTTGACCTACGGTCGGCCCGCCGTCGCCGGTAGCAATCTCGGAAATGAACTGAATTGGGCGCGCGCACAATATTATCGTGCGGTGGCCGTGGGGGAGCCCGACAGGGTCCCCGACAACGCACAATGTCCTAGTTTTTTTTTTTTTTTTTACCGTACTAAATTCGTCACGCAATCGGAAAGCACGAGTATTATTTTTTATAATATTGTCGTTGCGGTAATCCCGCTATATAATATAGGTATAATATTATGCGGGTCGAAACGGTCATACTCATATTATATAATAATGTAGCAAGTAGTTAGTTTATATATTGTAGTGCACCATATTGTAATTTTGTTTGTTTTTAAATTATGAAAATTTCAATTATTTCCATACGAACCGTCTCGACATTCCCGCCAATAAATTATATACCTGCATTTGTAGGTATAAAATTTATATGTAGGCATATACTGACGATAAAAGATTAAACAATATTTGAAAATAAAAACAACGTTGTACGTATACAAGTTTCGATTTTGATCGAATAATAATCATAAAAAAACTAGCGCTTTTATTTAACACTGCTCACGGGTAGGCCACTGTTGTAGGTGGACAACATTGGGAATAGATATTGAAATATACAGGATAATTTAGTTTGTAATATGGTGTAAACATATAATTTATACAGATACGGGTATTTAAATACAACGATAAATTAAATCTATTCTGAGCGGAGTACTACTCATGATTTTACCTTGTTTTCAAGGTAACTAAGAAATCGTCAATAATCGAATAAGGGTCTTTAGGGAGTTAACTGTTGAACATTTTTAAAATGTTTTAAATAAACTATCACCGGGCAAAAATCCAGCATTTTTTAATGCATGTCCTGAAAAAATATCAAATCATTTTTACTAATCGTAAAAATGTTCTGCGCATGGAAAAAAAAAACCACGTCTTTGTAAGACTAATAGCTTCTTCGCTATACTCAAAATCTAAAAAAAAAAACAAAACAAAACATAAATACTCTCTGAAACGCTCGTTCAACTATAGCATATTCAATACTATAATAATATTTAGTAAATTCAAAGCTATAGGTAACTATCTAATGTTCTTCGATTCGTATTTTTAGAAATATATTGAAATTATTGTAATATTTATATAATACCTATGCTGTATTATACTATGGTTTTTTTTCTTTTATTTTATGGATACACTATTACGGTTATAATAATAATATGTCAGCTTGCCGAGAAGATTGTTCTGCAGTCTGGTTGAGCGATAACGAATTTGCATAGTTTGTGCAACAGTAACAATAAAAAAATATCACACGGACACCACAGCGGTGTTGCAGGAGATGACGTCACACGACTGTGGTGGCATAAGGGCTTTAAACTATATACGCGCATTCATACAAAGTATAATAATATTAAAGCGTCGATTATTCTTACTTATATACTCGTATTATTAGTATTAATATGAAAATTGTAAAAAAAGCGATATTATTTTATTTTACTTTCGGCTATGTTGTAAAACATTTTTTCGTGTTTGTTTTTTTTTTTGATCAAATGATCAAATCTAAACATATGACTAATTTCAAACAACAGAGTACAATTTCAGTCGAATAATTAATAATTGATGACCTCACAAATTCATAAACTGCACCTATATTTTAATTTCCATATTTATATATATATTTTTGAACTAGTAATTTGATATAACACAATAAATTTGAATACATTTTACGTTTAAAACAAGTAAAAATTTAAACGGAATTGAACTTATTTACACAAATCGATTTTAACGAAAATTAGTATTATACTTGCGTATGCTGGAATACTTTGAGAGTTTTCGTCGTTAGCATCATACAATCAGTTTAGAAAAAATAATTAAATTTCGACTGTTATTAAAATTAAAATAAAAAGAGCTGGTTTTACTGATGAAAGAGGTATTGTTGTTTAAGTTGAAAAAGTAGAATATATAGATTAATTTAAAATTAAATTTTTTAAGCAACTATTTATGGATCATTGTAAACGAAATACGATTCTGAGTGAGTTTATCGGTTAAATGTGTTTTGAAGTGTCGTCAAAATTTTAACTTTAAATGTTCATAAAAAATAATGTATACATAAGGCTCTATTCATTTTTTTTTTTATTTTTTTCTACAACTTATGAGTGAATTTGTGTTAAATTTCCAAGTATTTTGGCTGGATCAAACAAATTGTATTTACATAAAAGCTGGCCAATTTAAAATGACTATTAATAGCACAAAAATCGCCAGAATGTTTTGAACATTTTACCATATCTAGAAAAGGGTTAATAAAAGTATTCCGTAGATACATTTGTTTTTCGGAAAGATGATCGGAGCAAGATTTTATGTAAAGAAAATGGTTTACAGGCATAAAAAATATATATCGTCAAAGTAAAACTGATACATTACTCCCTACGCTCAGAATCCAATACCTTTAGGTAAATTATTATAAATTGTAAATTAAATGAATTATAGGCATTAAATCAGATTTCTTTTATTTATTATTATAATTACAAGCAATGAGATTGATTGTTTTTTATTATTTATTTTATTAAAAAAACAAAAATTGTTTTATTTCATAATAATTTATCATTTTGTTTTTTGAGTTGCATTATTTGTTCGTATTAAAATAATATTTATCAGTTAAATTATAAAGGTATATACGAGTGTATAATAAAATACCTAACGCGTTTTAAAAAATGACTATACAATGAAATATTTATTTTACGATTAAATTATGGGGAACAAAAAGCCAATGTTGTATTGTCAAAGTCGATGGATATTATTATAAAGGAATAGTTTATTTAAAATTATATAACTTTATCAAATTACAATAAATAATACAAAAATAACAAAATTTAAAATTCCTGTGAAATATTAAATTACTATATCTACTTTAAAAATATTATACTTAATTTAATCTGATCGTATAGTATTGTACTTTCAAAAAATAAAATATTAGGTATATAAAAAGTTTGTAAAAAATAAAAAAAATGCTTATTATATTTTTGGATTTCACATCACTTATACATATCATACCAACGAGTACTTTTCGCTAGCAGTTTTGTGAATTAAATTTTTAGTTTTCTATACGGATCGGTCGACGACGTTGAAAATAAAATACCATTCGTAGCACTAGATTATAACAGACAGTTAAAAATTCCCCCACAAAAGTGCCGAAGAAATAAAAATCCCAGGAAAAAAATTTTAAAAAAAATAATCACGTCAACGTTGTTTATTTGTTCTTCGGTATTATTAAGTTTACTTTTTTTAACATTTTTGTTTTTTTATTAATATTCAATATAGTATTTATAGTATAACTCATATTAAAATGCGTCAAAATACGAAACTGACAATTCTAAGTTTATAATAAGATAAGTCGTAATAGTATGATGTTGTTAGGCATCTACGAAATACTGTTAAAAGAAATGAAAACTGATTTTATAATTAAATTGATCGTAGTCAGTGTATAAATTAAATTATAAATAATTATATTAGTAATTTATCCTTATAGAAGTGCAGTTGTAGAGGGTTCTATATATAGATTATAAAAACATTTTTCGAGTAATACTATCCGACCGGAGGGAAGAAAATACGATATTTCGGGTTTATGTTAATTAGGTATACATTATTAATATTAAAATTAATGTTACGATATTTACATAACAAAAATATAGTTAATTTTCTATATGTGTGTTTTGCTAATTTAATTTTTCGTATATATGAATTTTTAAATAGTACTTACTACTATACTTTTGATTATAATGTTCTGGATGGAAACGAAAATGTTTTTCGACGCGAGCGTTTAAAGTTCGTTATAATATTTGTTTTTTCTGAAATATATTACAGTATTACTCGTATATCCGTCATACATGACGGGTTATAACCATTGTTTAAATTTTTAAAATGGCTAGTCCTAAATCCAAATGCTGCAAGTCTTGATTGCGAAAACTTTTTTACGTATGCATTTTAACAAAACCAAACTTTTTAATCAAAATTATTTTCGTTGTTGACATTGAAAGGTTCAAATAGAAACAATCTAAACTTCCCGTTTAAAAACTGCGCACGGATTTATATGTAGACTGATATTTAAATAATATTGAATTATTTAAGATCAACTTACAATGCAGCGAAACTTCCATTGTAATGGAGTCTCATGGAAAACAAACAAAATTAGTAACATATAGAAAAATTCGTTAAAATCACATAATTTGTTTCTTTATTTTTTATTTAATAATTTTCTGTACTCATACATAGGCGAACCAGAGGCATTTTATTCCGGAACATCAGCATTCTCGCTACAGATAACTTTGAACATAATATTAATATGTTATATCTATCGATTTAAAGTTATTGAACCATCGTCCAAAGATAGCACAAAAATCTAAAAAAACAAATTTCTGAGCAGAATAAATTACCTTTTCTTTGATTAACGTACCTAATATTGGCAGATTAGTAAGAACCTTAATGAAAATAGACGTAGGAGGAAAGAGTGGAGAGGAATACCGAAAAGAGGTGGTTGGATGCTGTTGAGGACGGCGGGTGTGTGCGAAGACGATGTGGAGGATCGTGCCAAGTGGAAGGTCATGACAAGGGTGACCGACGACTCCTAATAGTTAGAACGAAGACGAAGAAGAAGGAGAAGAAGAAGAATTAGATTACTAACTATAGTGACAAGTTAGAGTTGAAGACGTCAAGACGTCTTCTATTTTTATGGCTGTTCTAGTGAACAGAGTGATAAATTATTTCTTTTACCATCGCACAATCCTTTATTAACATCTGCAAATATAATCATATTAATAAGGTACGTGATAAGATTCTAATTTCCATAAAAATGGCGGGAAATAATTTCATGATTATACATTTTATGCAGGTAACATATTATAATAGTAATAATCTAATATGTTATGTAATACAGATTTATATATGGTGTAGACCGTGATGTTGCCGAAATGTAGTATACAGTGCCATACTATTGTGATATCCCTGTACGCTGCTTTATTTTTTTTTACACCTGTTATCACATCAAATGTTGCAATTACCTTTAATATTTCTATCGTGATATCTAACTATTTATACCTTAAAGTAAGACTTCAAAGTGTGTTCAAAACTTCTGTGTGTACATAGTTTGTTTTAATTTATTCATAAATTAGTAAGTAGGTATACCTAATAGTATTTTGCTCGATATATTAATTTATTTCATTTTTGAATAATACAGTCGTGATTTAATTGAGGTATAAATTATAATTTGACACGCAACTTAATAATATAATCTTATACATGGATCGATTTTTAGATACCTATTAAAAATAAATAATACTAATAAATACAGGCACACATTTTTTTTTCGTTTTGGGTTTTCTCTTTCAGATAATAATTTTCTTTGTGACAAACTGATACTAGGTACGTAATTAATGAATTTATTCACTTATAATATCATGTATTACCTGTATACGTATACAATGTATATTATACATACACGGAAAATTTACATATAAACACACGCGTGTGTATTATTAAAATTAGTGTACCCAACAGCCAATATAAAAACATAGCTTATCAATTCAGAACAGTAAATTATTACATTAATAAATTTAATTCTACTTACCTCATAGTTATGATATTATATGCCTATACCATATAGGTGTATTTAGTCAAATTAAGAAATATTATTGTTTTCAAGGCTAACAAATGCATGAAAAATAACTGATAACAATAATTATTATTCTATTCCTCGAATTTTTTCTGTATACCGTACTATTACCAACATACATAATATTCTCTTGTGCTGCAATATTGTTGATATAATTTTTAGTTGTTTAGTATACCTAGGTATATTGTTATCTGCTGGAAAACACTAATAACAGTTTTCGGTGTGTGTAAAATCTCTTTAATCGTACAACACTAATTACTGCTGATTATCTATGTATGTATTTATGGGTTACAACCAAAAAAATATAATGTACAACACAGCCTAATATTATTATTATTATAATAATAATTATGTTCACTTGTAATAGAAAATATAATATTTAGTAAACCGCAGTCGTGTATCGACCTATAGTTCTACGACCTAAAATATAAATAGTTGTTAGTCTGGTAGGTACCTATGTATTATTTATAGTATTTTTTATTGTTATCTAATTTTTTTTTCCGAAAAATATGATGTACAGTAAACATTATTTTTAGTAACAAAATACTCTTAAAAGTTCAAGATGTTCAAGCAATTATATAAATAATAAATTAAAATAAAACGAGATCAAAATTATGACCTAATTTAGTAACAATGTCGTGGGCTTTTATTAATTTCACATGTATTAAAATTATACTGCGTTAAATAAGTTGCTGTATGTATTTTACACAATAAAATAAAAAGGCTTGTATGAGTGGCACACTGTTTTTTTAGAAGGGAAGTTTGAAGAAAGGATGTATAGAGTAATGTATATCTGTTCGCAATAATAAACCATTGCTAATGAAAATAATTCTTTTTTTTTTTTTAATATTTATTAGAAATCATACAATCTGTACAATTTTTTTTACAATGAGCATGTTTGATATTTTTAAAGATGACATGAGTTACTTGACTTAAAGAAGCGGTAACACTTTTGGAAAATAATTCTGAATCGTATTTTGCCCCGTGTTGCCAAAGTAACACTTATACTAACCAAAATTATATATATATATATATATATATGAAAAAAAAAATGCCATTTTATAAACACTACAAGAGAAATCAAAAAATGACTTCCTAAATTTACCAACCTAGATCAAAAATTCTACAAACAAGTTTCTATAAAGTTTTTCAATAGTGCAAGATATCTAATAGAAAAGTTGATACAAACAATATAAACAAATTATAGTAAAACCAATATTATTCTCGCTTCAATCAGAATTTATTAAAATTAAAATTTATCAATTATTAATTACTAGCACATTGCATTTCTATCACATTATTCTTAGATGTTCAAAAAACATAATTATAATAGGAATGTGATATAGAATCATATTATATACCTATGGTGAGATTAGTATTTGTTACGTCTGTTTAGGCTAAATAAACACCAAAAGTAAAATAAAACTTATCTAGTGTGTTTTTTTTTTATTTTTATTATGATTTTTTTTAAATTTTTTTTTTTTTATGAACAATGTAATACACGCAAAACACACTGCATATTCTGTATACAAGTTAGATCAACTATAATAGATAAGCATATACTTACGGTTCTGAATTAACAAGTGGTAGATGTTAAGTTGCAATCCATGTCCCGGATGATCAAAATTTAAAAATATTAATCGATGGATTTAATACAAATTTCATGGCCTTAATAATTACAATACTGTTATGATGGGTTCATAAGTATTAAGGAGAACTTACACACTGAGACGATTAATATTAATATTAATATCGATTCATTATGAACACGTCAATTAAGTACCTACCAGCTACTTAAGTAGTCATAATTTGTATGTTCTAGGACGCAGCAAAACGCCCCATGAAACCTAAAAAATTGGCTTCTTTTAGAGCATAAAAACGTTCAATTAAAAATTGTACACTTTTATCCATATTTAAAATATTATTTTATTTTCTCATATTTTTAAACTGGTTTTATTAAATTGTATTTTTTTCGCAAACGTATATGATAAATTATTTTTAAGTTTTAGTCGTGGATCAGCTACTAAATAAAACGTTTAATAAATAAAAATGTTTAATTTAAACATAAAACGTGTTTAATTCCTAGAACATACAAATTATAACTACTTATTTCTATATGTTTCATAAAAAATAACGAATAAACAAAAACAAAACTATTATAATTTATAAATTCCGCATAAATAATTCAACCAAGTTGAGGTGTCAAATTAATATAATTTGAGCTGTAGATTATATTACGAATACTAATACTGTTTGACTAATATAACTGAAACGTTCTGGTTGAATATATTATATTTATATTTTGTTTTTTTTCATAGAATGTCTATGTTTTATAGGTATACATCTTCTCCTCATCACTATCGCATTAACATACCTAAATCGTATTCGCTTAAAAATTATAACGCGTTTTTGTATATTTTGTTTCTTCAGTCTTATCTCTAACATTGTAAACACGAGATTAGATTATAATTCGCGCAAATAATTGTTACAATATTACGATGTGTTTTTCATATAGCGATTTTCGATATACTTCATATAATTAATGATGATAGATGAAACGTTAATCTAACAACATATAAGTATACAAATGGTAATTTAGCGAGGTAGCTTTTTAAAAGTTGGCGGGAGCCTAGAAAACCATATACCTACAAATGAATTTGAAAAAAAAAAATTGTAAGTTACAAATAGTATTGGCTGGTATTTGAAGTATAAAATGTCGAAATTCGAATACGTTATGGCGAATGTAACAATTGAACACTACATAATGGCAACAAATAATTCGAAATAATTATCATGTTATATCGCTGTTAAAAATATCTTCATATATTAATATATTTAAAACAAAAAAAATATTTCAATACTAATTTAAAATTATAAATAATTTAATTTGTAATTTGTATTATAATATGTAGGTATGCCCATGTTTTTGATAAGCAATATACTTTCAATAATCTCTTTGATTGCATTAGTTTTTATTAGTTGATGTATATCAATACTTACCTGAAACCGTTGTAATCATCAAATGGCATCTATTATATTTATTTTGGTATTGAACAAAATTGCATAGTATAACCTCTTAATAGTTTGATAATTATTCAATTTATTAAACTAATTCTCGTGTAATATATATTACGTAAGTATTCAAACCTCGGAGAACACGAATATTGTGCTAGTGAAAACTCTATTATTTTAGATTTTTTATCTATTCTTTTTGAACAACGCAAAATCACTTAATCGGCCGTATTGAATTAACCTTGGATTTTTTTTGGTGATCTGATTTTTCATATTATACTAATCCGTTGAGTTTCTAAAACCCAAAATAAAATATTAATAATATTTTAAATAGTTGAATCAATATGTATTATACATATTTATGTAACAGTAACAAAATAAACTACTTTTTTTTTCCAATCGCCCAGAACAATTAATTTTCTTTGGATAGTTACACAAATAAACCTAATATATTACATGGACCGGTTAGACTAGATAAATGTAATATATAATTATGACGGTACAATAAAAATAATATTACACGTGTAGTTATGAAAAACATATTTAAAAAAAAAAAATAAAAAAAAAATGCACGAATTAATAAGTTTTAGTTATTGGCGGAGACAAACACATGTGAGACATGTGTGTACATATACGATTGTGAATTTGCGTAAGTACGGTGAATGTTGTCAGTCACTCTGGTGGGTTGTTGACGCGCACAACCTTTAGATGGGTGAATGTGGGAAATGTACTAAAACGATTGTATTTTTTTGCGTGATGGGCGTCGCCGGCCGTTTTTTTCGAAATGACCTTTATTACAATAATATTGACTCCTTGATACTTTGACTATACGTCCAAAAACTATATAAGGCTTGTTTTCCGCGACGACAGACACAAATATCGTATTTTGTACATTTTTGAGAACTCCAAATGGAAAAATATTTACTCAACACAAATTTAATTCCTTTGCGATTATGTTAGTGTATATATAATGCTATTAATAGTACGGTTCTTTACGGTATAGCGGTTCACCCGGCCAATGATATTGCAGAAAACGTCTTTGGAATTTTCGTGAAAAACTCCGCTGTCGTTGGTTAGTTTGTTTTAGCGTATATAGTAGAATTTTCAAATATACACTAATTTAAAAACCGATTGTAGCGTTTACGTGATATCCTCGGCGATGTTCTGCAATTTAATATACGAATTCTATTTATAATATACAGCGTCGTTCTTATATATTTTAAATTGAAAACGGACGATAATCAACAAAGGTCGTCTTATTAGTTTTTTTTCTGCGTTTACTTGTTGTCATGTTTATGTTTTCCGACGATCTCCTCAATTAAATGTTAGGGTAGATTTGGTTTCATTCGTTTTAAAAGTTAACGTCTCCGCCAGAAATACATTTTCTGACTCGCTGAAATAACTTTTAGAATATTATACACCTAATATAATAATTTTAATTAGGTAGACAGGTATAATATATGTATAAAACAACAAGGAATATTAAATGTCGTTAAACTGTAATATACTTTGGAGTTTGGATATTATTAATATTAATAGTATAAATATTAAATGTCAAATACAATCCACGAACGTCGCAGGAATAGTGGAACAGTTAGTCACACTAGTGTGACATCATATTATTTGATAGTAATCCTTATCAAGTAAGACGTCAGCGCTATAATCACACGTATTTGGAATTTTTAAACAAAAAGGTCAATATTTTTTATAATTCCGTAGATGTTTGGGGGGGTTTGTGGCAGGGAGAGGGGGGTTATTTTATTGTTATTATTATTACTGTCGTGTCAGTGACGTTTTCTCTAAGCTATATACCTACCTGTATGGTATCATATGCAATACGATCGACGATTGGTATTTTTAATTTTCTTTAAACGCAGCCCGGGAATTAATTGGTTTATAGCGTCGACACTCCTCGCGTATTTTACGATTTAAACTTTTCCATATTTTTATTATTATTATATATTTGTATTTTTATATTTATATACAACATCCGTTGGCTATTATAATATTTATATTGCGTGTAAAAATAACTAAATAACTCAATATTTTAGCGTCGAGTGACGTCGAGGAAGGTTTTGGTATAAGTATTGACGTATAATTGTACAATAAATGTTTATGTTTGTAATCGATTAGTCACACGGTCGTCCGTAATAATCAAATTGCGATTTACAGTTGGTAGGTGTGCCTATATAATGTATATAATTGCAATATTAATTGTATCGAACGATTTCGGTTTGATTTTATATCGAATCCGAGTGCAGAATATTTAAGTATTTACGTGCTTAAACCAAATATGCGACAGACCGTATTTAGGATAAATGACCCATAGGCCAGACTATATTGGTGTGGCTTCTACCACGGGTTACCGGTACAGGGCACAAGTACATATTTAATTCCGGATTGACTTTTTTCTTTTGCTTATTAGGTAGCTTTTTTAGCGAGAGCTCATAGGCTACACAGCCTATGAAGTTTAAACACGGCCCCGATGGGTGTTCGTTTGTACAATATTTCAAGGGTATATAGTCTATATAAATACCTTTTGATTTTCGTCGCATTCTTATTGCGCACTGGAAAATAATACGTATGGTTTTTATAATTTTTAATTCGTTTTTAAGAACGTCCCTCTATTACATTTTTTTTTTTTTTTTTATTTGGTTTGCCTAATTAACTATTATACTAAACGTAAAATTATACCTTAATCGAATAAATGCATTGTGTGGATATTTTCTATCTGTCTAATTGTGTATTTTTTGAAAATTACTTATGTTTTTATTCATTTTTGTTCCAACAGTCTGACGCGAAAATGGTGTTGGACGTGATTCAACGAATGGAAGACACTGAACCGTTTTCAGAAGAATTGTTAACTGCTATGAAGAGACTGTGGGCTGATCCCGGTGTCCAAATGTGCTTTTCCCGATCAAATGAATATCAGCTCAACGATTCTGCTAAATAGTAAATAAAAAACAATTATAATATAAAATATATGTATATCTACTTGATATTTTCATGAATTATTATTAATTCATAGGCACTTGCACTAATAATCCCAAGGTAAAGATTGCGTATAGGTACTCAATCATTTTTAAAAGTCATAATTTAGTTATTTTTTCAACAGACAAATATTTCATTGTGAATTAATTGTTATTTCCATCATTGTATTTGTATAAAATAATATTTTAAAAACGAAATATTCTATACCGTTCACATATTTTATATAAATCTACAGCCTACAGGTGATAGTATTGAGAAGATACATCTAATAGAATAATTTCTTTTTGTTTAGACACTTTTTCTAAGAACTATTGGTACTATATACACAGAAATGTGATATATGAAAAAAAAAACTAATAAACGGCCGTTTATTGCAATCAATTGATTTTAGTAGAAAAAAAAAAAAAAGAATATTTTAATTTTTAAATAACCAATAAATAACAGTTTTTTTTTTTTCTAAATATTATGTTTCTACAAAATATACCGTTTATGGGAGAAAAGATAACATCGACTTTTCAAACTATCGTAGTATAAGTATGCACATTATCATGCGGTGTGAGAGTCAAGGACGAACCGAGAAAAACATTTCGAGAATTGGGGGAGGGGGCCAAACAAATATTTACCTGATTTGACCTTAGTATTACTGTAAATCGATTTATTATTTAAAATTTAAGTACAAATTAAAAAGCGATTTATATTTCCGAGACGTTTTTGAACCCCCAGAACCTTTCGTCACCGATGTGCACCCAGTCTTAAAATATTATTATTATATTCAATTGTGATTATACTACATGCATTGAAATATTTGCTAGGTGTAACGATATAGATATATATACCCCGACTAGTATGTTGGACATCCCGAGTCTGACATTTTTGTGAATTCAATATAATAGACTTACCTAAAATTAAGTTTCGAAAAGTAAAAACCGTATATATAAAACACGGATGCATACAATCAATGCCAACCGCTATGTGGCAATCGTATTGTACAGCTGAAGCCGCAGTTTTACATTGTGATAACGGTCGAATCTGTCTTTTTACCATTGTTACCACGGTCACCAAAACTGTGGTCATTAAAATAATACAAGGCGCCCCGAATTAAACGGCAGATTGATATTTTTTAACTTTGTATGCACGCATATTTATATTTATATATTTGTGTACGTGATAATAATTGCGCGTAAAACCTTTCTAATGTATTGATAACAATCGTCAATAACTATCGCGATGACATTTTAATAATATTTTAAACAACTTTTCCCAACAATTAACAATACTTGTGTTATTGAAAGAGGAAAAAATAATAATGTTCGCTATTATAATATTGTTAATCATATTGCGCGTCCTTATCGCACGCGTATAATACAGCAACAATGAAATTAATAAAACGCTTTCAAGACCCTGTAGTCCGCGGCTTTATTGTTCATTCATTTTTGGTGGGAATTTAAATGACGCATTTCAGAGACCTGTGAACTAACAGTAATCTGTTTTTGTTTTTTTTTTTCTAATTCCACTTTTTCAAATAAATATCGCCGCGAAACTATATGTCTCGAGTTTATATATTTCGTATAATTTTTTCGGGTGCGTGTAAGTTTTTATTTTTTAAAATAAATTCCGCGAAGGTCGAAAACTACAGTGTAGTATTATAATTCGCCTTATATTTGCGTAGTACAATAATACAAGTTATGCGTTTTACAATAATACGAGCATTATTCTTTTTGGGACACGCATAAACGCAAGTATTTGCTAAAATATTTGTATTAAGTTTTTTCTTTTTTTTCTAATTCAGTTTTAGGTACATTGTATGTACAGAAAAAAAAAACGAAACGATATCGTAATAGCAAAATTGAATTATAGGTACCAACAAGAATTTAAATTACGGATAACATTTTTGAACAAAACCCGCGTTTTACGCGAATATAACGCAAAGATAATTGGTCCCGACGGCCATTTCGAAATTACAATATTTAATTTTGAGCGTGTCGGCGATTTAAAAACTGTTTGTAATATTTTCTTGATTTTCATAATTATTTTCGCTATATTGTTTGCTACGATTACACACAAATATTTGATGATTATTTTTTTTATTATTATTTGTTTAGATCATAGTGCAATCTATACATCTGTGTGATAATCATTATAAAAACGTTTAAATGTTCACATTGGACAGTCTAATCATATACGGTGTAGTTAAAAAAAAAAATGTTTACATAATAATTTTATGTCCTAGGTTAGGGCACTATGGGGAATTTCCTAAAACAATTAAAACCGCTGTGTGTTTAATTTAATTTAATTAACGGAACAAAAATAAACTGATAATATAGAGTGGTGAGGAAGTGATGAAGTGTTATACTTTTATTTTAAGCTTTTTTTTTATCGAATATATAACGTGCGTGTCCTAGTACAATAACGCGGGAGTTTGAAAATAATTTGCATATACCATAAAAAAATGATAATAATACGTTCTAGTGATAATGTTCACAGCGATATTTGAAATTTCTGACAGTTTTCCTCCCGAAAATCAGCTACGACTACGCTGTTTTTCTTTAAAAATTTCTTTGCACTAATTCCGGTGCCTATATTTTCCGAACATTAATAAAAAAAATTAACTGCGGTCCACACACTAATAAGCGATTCGGACGTCGTGTTTGTTTTATGACTAAACGTATTATGTATAATACTCGCATTATAGTATTATAATGAATGATATTACGTAATTTTTAAAATTAAATGACTTTGTTTAATCGATCTTAATTTTTCCTAATACACAACCAAATGTATACGTTCGAGCAAATATATATATATGCAATTTTAGGCAGCAAATACAAATATTATAGAAGGGTGGCGATTTTTTCGTGCTAATAATAATGACGGCGAAAATAGTCGGCGGTCGGAAAACGATATACGGCGGAAATTTCGATCCCGATGTCCTGAATAGGACAAAAACACGGCAGTTTCCGATACGCGGAGCGAGAAGATTTTCGATTTTTAAGTATAAATTCAGGTACCTCGATTTAGGTATCGGTGGCGTGCCCAGGGGGTATTTTAGGGGTTGTACCCACCACCTCCTCCCCCACCCCCATTGGATTAAATACCGATAGTGAGTTTTTTATTTTGTATTTTTATCTCGAAATTACGAATATTACACATTTCGGCCAAGTGACCGAGGGGAAAAAAGTTTGATTTATCGAATAAAAAAATTGTAGGCGTTTTTCAGATCCGGTTTTTGAATTCTCGTTGACGCGGGGGTCAGGCGTATCACGGAAGAAAAAGTAGAAATCGATAACTACGCGATTTATCCGAAAGGATCGTGATTGTTATATAATATCTGCTCTCCGGATGGGAATTCCTGCTTTCCTGGCCGTGCACTTACATCATATATGTATAATACTTACCTGCGATGGGTGTATGGAAAAAAAAATGACGGATTTTTTTTAATTCGCGATTTTCGCCGTACAGCAGCGGCTGCCGGTTTTTATTCCGTGTTAAACGACGAGGAGCTCGGATATAATATTTATATTTGTGTATAGGGGTGCGCGATTACGGTTTATAGTTGCCGGTCGGGCGTGGTCCTCGATGACGTCATTGGATCGATACCATCGCCGCCGAGGCCGCCGCCGCCGCGGTGCGCGTCTGGGGAAGCGTATACTCGTGCACGGACGCAAAAACACTAATAATAATAAAAAACCATTACCGCACTTATACCCGTGTTCCGGAGATATATTATAATGTATAATAGTTTTTAAGTAATTTCGAAAATGCGCGGGCAAAAAAAAAAAAAAAAAAACACCTATTATATATTATTTTGATATTATTTTATATATTATATATATGTATATATGGATAAAACAATGTTCTTTAATTTAATAATAATAATGGGTCATATATTGTTAGGAAAAAACAACCCCCGTAAAAATCCCCGTTGCCGTTAAAATATAATATCATATGACAAAAATACATAAAATATGTATGGTCCGTCACGATAATAATATTTTAATATTATTTTAAACGTGTATACCGTAGTATAGATATACATAAGTATTAACATTTGACATTTTTTCGATACTTACCACCATAATATGGTAGATATAATAGCTATAATAATTCGTATCATTAATTAATATTTTTTTAAAACCATAATACTATCGATTTCGTCGTAAATTAATCAGGTAAAATAAATTAGTTCTCTGCTACATTACACGTGAAATCGAATTTTTAGAACAAATAGTAGACAATTTTAATCATATTATAGTATAGGACGAATAACAATAAAATTATATATATAGATACATTAAGTTATCTATTTTTTTCACACAACAAACATAGACATTATCAAATAAAAATAATTCGTAGTGTTGACAAAGAAATGTGTACGTGAAATAAACATCCGGGGTATTGATCAGTGGGTAGGGTAGTTGCGTCTTCTCTTCAAATAGATAAGTACCGATTATCACTTGTGGTCAGAATAATCAAAATGAGGTTATTAAGTACTTAGAACATTGTTAGAATACATACATAATCGGCGGTGATCTGAAACTGAAATCTCAAAACATCTACAAATAATATACATTTTGATGGCATTCTGTTTTTCTTTTAAATAAAAGAAGATATAAATGAATAAAATATATTATAATGACTAGGTTGTTTATCACGTAACCGCTGTAAAAACGAATGCAAAAAGAATACTATACTTTTACCTTGGAATTAGCAATAATTATACGTTACAATATTATTCTCACACTTTATAATTCGTTATGTGCCGTTGATAATATTATTACTTATTATTTTGTTTTGTCTAGTTTTCTGGATGACCTGGATAGGTTAGGGTCCAAAGATTACCAGCCCACCGAACAGGACATATTGCGTACCAGAGTAAAAACCACCGGTATCGTCGAAGTGCATTTTTCGTTTAAAAACTTAAATTTCAAGTGAGTGATTTCGCGCATGGAGACGACGGCGTGGTTTTTTTTTTTTTATTCTTTCGAATGAATAGCATATCATTTGAAATCGTACCGTATTATATATTATATTATATTATAGATTGTTCGACGTCGGCGGTCAGCGATCGGAAAGAAAAAAATGGATCCATTGCTTCGAAGACGTGACGGCGATCATATTTTGCGTAGCCATGTCGGAGTACGATCAAGTCCTTCATGAAGACGAAACCACGGTAAATATAGTCGATATTTTAAGTAACATTTTTTTGTTTACGGCATATGGCTGAATTACCCGGTATTTTCGGGGCTCAGTTTTTTAAAAACCGACATTAATGTAGGAAATTCAATTTAACGCGTCTGCGCATTTCCATCTTTATCCCGATCACGGTTAATCGTTGTTGCTCGGTAATTTAACTTTTAAAACGATACTTCTCGGTAGTATGCGACAACCAAATTAAACACACTGGTAATTGTTTTTATTCGATTTGTTCGTATTAAAATATCGAAAATTAAGCGCGAGTCGTCCTTTTATCGGAGGTTTAATTTCGAGATAGATCTCGTTTCGAACGTCTGGTGCGTACAGTTTCATCGAAAATTGCAGTAGATTTGTTTATTATAACGGACGGACAGATATGCGTATAGACTGTAGAATTTCAATAAACACACTCGTAATTTCTCTAGTGTAATAATGTGAAAAAAAAAAATTAAATAGAAATAACGACGCGCTACCACAAAGGAAATCGTTAATAAATTGTCACATTTGTAATAGTAATTTTATCGTGCGATGATAGCCGCGCTAATTGAACTCTGGCCCCTCGTCGTCGTTAGCCGTGTAATATATTATTGTTTTATCGTGTAGCAGCTAATAGTGCACGTTTCGGACCAATTTATGTTAAAACCGTTACGGGAACGATTCTAATCAATATAACAGTCTCGTATACATTGTATTGTATTTATCAGCTACCTCATTTATCTATCCGTTTGTCGTTTATTTCTCATAATGATTCAGTGTGATATTATAGTTGTTCGTATACTCGACAGTAAACTTGATGAGTTTTTCCGTCGCGATATGCCTACGATATACCAAATGCATGGAAATGAAATTCAATCGGGATGCATACGCCATTTGTATTATAATTTTATCGGGCAAGACGACTATAGTCGAGGAGATTTATTACCTATACAATAGAAATCGCGCAATTTGTAAAACGTCTAGTGGCCCCGGATGATCAAATGTATACACGGGGAAAAAATGAGTTTCTTTATTTTGGATTTATCGTCCGTATATTATGTCCGCCTTTTTGTTTTCCTCAAAATTGTTATTGTTAATTAGTAATTACCCTTTAGTAATTACCGTTTAATAAGCGGTGTTACCACCTACATACACCGCAGAATCTGTATACGCGCACGCAGAAATTATTGTGCGCACATACACGCTGCGGCAGCAGCAGCAGCAGCACCACACGATGACGAAGATCTTATCTCCCGACACTGGCGCTGGTCGTCGTCAAGGCAACACCGGTCTCGATCGATAGCACTTCTCCCTGCAATACTCGCACCGTTCCTATATACACTAACGGTCAACCCTTGAACTACATCAGCTATATATATATATACAAACTTTATAGTGTTTAACTTAAATATAATACAGGCACCTACCTACATAATATACATATTAAATACCTATTGAATTTCAATAACTCTTTAACAGAAAAAAAAAAAAATGTTAAATAACCGATACATTCACGGCAAGAGACAATTTACCGAGACCTATTGTGTAAAACGTTTTTCCCCTCCACATAGACACCATCATTGACTTTTTCCTGTACCTACTTATATTTTATTGTTATCCTACAGTGATGGATTTATTTTTCGTACCACTTAAATACTGATGACGGTTCAAATTGTCGCAATAAACGATTAAAAAAAAATATCGTTCGTTGACTTTTCAATATTAAATTAAAAATGCCTATACGTAAAACGTAATTTTGTGCTATGACATTATTTTTTTCAATAAACGTAAGATATTTTTTCAAAAATTTTAAACAACGAAAATTTGTACGATTAAAGATATAGGTATACAGAAAATATAATTGTTTTATATTTGTCTATTCGAGTGCTGACAATTAACACGCAGAGTAAATAAAATAAAGAAAAAAAAACGGACGACCTAAAGTGCAGCGCTTCGCGCATTACTGTCAGATATGATGTCCTAAGCGACTCGCATAATCACCATTAAAAAAAAAAAAAAAAAAATAAAAATATTTTTACGGACTTTTGTCCAAAAAATATATATCAACAAGTAGGCATTAAAATGCAGTTTTTAATAACGTGCATGTGCTTGTTTTTTAATATTACTACTTAACACGCGATACTTACTATATTATGCGCTATCGTAAATATAATAATCAACTAAAATAAGTCTACGGACACGCCGAACAAATTAACCAACCAAATGCATAGGTACTTAGTTGAATATTTTAGTATTTCACTCATAAAGGGTTTTTTTTTCTTCAATTTTCATAGTTTTTTTTTTTTTTTGTGAAATGCACACGACGCGCGATGAATTGATTTTAAATTTAATTGTACATTTGTGTCTAAACTGTGCAACAATTCGGCTTGAATTTTAATAATTGTTACACTCTTAAACTGTAACCGAATAACAATATTAAATTTTAGCGTATAATAATATACATATATCGGTATACGTACAATATTACTATATTATTTGGTATCTATATTATGTACCGCGCAATCAATAAATAAGATATTGAAAATGGCCGACATCGTTTCGATACGAATAATATAATAATACGAAATAATGTTTTGTTTCAGAACCGTATGCAAGAGAGTTTGAAGCTATTCGATTCGATCTGCAACAATAAATGGTTCACTGACACTTCCATCATATTGTTCCTGAACAAAAAGGACTTGTTCGAAGAGAAGATCAAGAAATCACCGCTCACAATATGTTTCCCGGAATACGCAGGTAACATACGCACTGAATGTCAAACTGTATGCATGACGTATTTTTGTTTCAGTGGAATTTAATCGTCAACTACGTTTCCATATTGAAAATACATGACAACATAACCTGTCCCAGACGGAAATAAATTTAAACATCATTTTCTTAGTGAAAATTTTGTGTTCAATATTTTTCCACTATTTAAATTACATAAAATATCTACTAGAACAAAAATATAAAAAATATGTTTTTAAAATACGACGAGTTGTTAGACATTTTAATCAAACAATTTGGTTTTTATTACAAATTAAACCATTTGATTAAGTTATTTTGTTGGCATATCGAATCGAGGTGCCTATATTTGTTATATTTAGTGCTTAAATTAAGTCTGGAATATGGAAAGGGGACGCAATAGTAAAATAAAAATCACTGATCTTAAAAGGACGTTATACCCGCATCTACTGTTTCAGTCCAACTACCGAGTAACACGCAAAATCAATGCTTATGCAGAATATGTAGAACTAGCTTGATTTTAGAGTAAAAGTACTTATTATGATATTCATAGCGAACAATATTTGGAGGAAATGTCATTGGGTTTTTGTATTATTCAAAATATACAGTTCAATATAAAAGATTCTAAAACCTTTTTTTGTTTTTTTGTTTTTTAAATAATTGTACATTTTTTAATAGTTCATAAATCATAATTCAAATGTTATCCGATAGCTGGACTGAGACAGTAGATAGATCCTCTTAAGATTTAATTATCTTTATGTCTACACTAAAATGTACAAAAGAAAAGTTACTCCATCTCTCTCCCCCAATTCAAGCACTGATTATATTATAAAATTTGTTTGAAAAATAAATACACATAATGCACTACGTATATTTGTGTTTAAATAAATAAATAGATAAATTTCTAGAGTAAGGGATATAAAATATTGACTTACCCATTAACGTAATACGAGAATTATAAACAAATAAAAAAACAACTTTAGGTACATATATTAATAAAATTATTTTACACAATTTTGACTTAATGTAAATTAATTAATGAAATCTTAAAAATCAGTACATATAGGTAATACAAATCTTAACTATTAACTTATTAATTTGGTTATGGTTTAATTTTGAATATTAATCTTTAAACAAATTTTTGTTTTTTTAAACAATTTTTTTTTGTTTTCTTGGACAATTGTAGGAGCCCAGGAGTATGGAGAAGCAGCCGCTTACATCCAGGCACAGTTCGAGGCCAAGAACAAATCTACCACTAAAGAGATTTACTGTCACATGACGTGCGCAACAGACACAAATAACATACAGTTCGTGTTTGATGCTGTCACAGATGTCATCATCGCCAACAATCTCAGAGGATGTGGACTGTATTAGACCACATCATACATACATAGATACACCGTGCGAGACAGTCGACAGACAAACACAAAACACATTAAAAGGTCCGTCGTAGTCAACTGCGGTTATAATATAATAATTATATTATATACACTATAGTTTTAATTTTGTGCGGTTTTCTTGTTTTTTTATGTTATATTTTTTTTTAAATTTCTACCTAGACTCATTTTTGTTGACCGTAGTTGATCCAAGTTCGACTAGATGCGATACATTTGTAGCCCTCCGTAATGCAATAAATAATTATAAATCCTATACAAATAGAATGAACGAATCGTTGTTTGTTTTGATCACACATTCATCTCATAGTATTATAATAGTACCTATACCTACCTATTATTATTAGGTACCCTACATATGGTGGTTGTGAATGACAAATTTTTTTTATTTTAAATTTAATTTAATGGTAGGTTAGCTTTTGAGACATAATTTTAATCAATAATTTAATTTATAAAAGTACATCTTTGCCTAAAAAAATGCCTCGAGTCGATTTATATAAATTTCCAATTGTGTGTTTATTCTTAAATATATTTGCTTAAAAAAGAAATAATAATAACATAGCATTAGTAATTTATGCAATTGAGTAGTTTAGTACCTATTATTTATTCTAATCTTAAACCTAAAAACGAATTGAAGTGGTTAACTTTATTAATCTAATGGTTATTTTGGTGCGAATTATTACATATTGAATTATTTGTATAGGCATTGTGTGCAGTATTTAAGGGTTGGGGAAGTGTATCTTGTTGTGTATAACGACAATTTGTATAGTCCATGAAGGGGATGGTAAATTTATATTGACATTCTATAAAAAAAATCATATAAACAGTCAAATTCACACTTCGCTAATATATTAAAATTATTCCTTGTATTGATAGTTATGCAAACAAAATTACTGCATATGAGTTAGTAAATTAAACAAATACATTGCTAAGAATCATTATCCACAAAATTTTGTTGTATCTGGAATAGGTATAAGCAAATTTGACTGCATTATAATAATAATAACAATAATAATATTTAATTATTTACCTAGTTATTAAAATTTAAGCTTTATTTTATTTCATGTAGGTAAAAATATTGTCATTTATTTTTATCAATGTTCTATGATTAAATTCACGTTAAAACTTGTTAAAAATACGAACAGTAAAATTGTAATTTATTACAAAGTTCCGAATTTATACAATTTTCAGCAGTATAAGATTGTCTATAACAAAATAGTTACCTATATCATACTTTTTGGAAAAATATTTAAGTGAGGTGGCAAAAATATATATTGCTTGGGGTGTGAAATTTCCAAATACAAGGTTAATTGTGTGTTAATGAATAATGAGGTAAACTTTATTACAGTATTTTTCTATAAAAATAAAAAAAAATTCTGATTTATTATTCATGCAAATTTAGATTATTAAAAAAAAAAAACATTAATTAAGTCTTCATATTTGAAGTAAATCTTTTAATATTACAATATCCTGTTCAATGCTAATCATTTTTAAGGGAAGGGTTTTTAGATTTTTAACTTTAAACTTTATATAACTGTACATAATTTTAAATTTTATCATAATAAGTAGAACTTTATTATATAAGATAACAATACTCGAGTTACCTTAAAATGCTTTTATAAAACCCAGAAATATTTAATATCAAACTATCTATTTAATTAAAATATTTTCTTAAAATATGAACATAATAATATAATTTAATATAATAATTTTTTTAAACATACAAACAATTTAAATATTGATTATTATTATTGCATTTTTTAGATGTTAACTACATTTTAGTTAATTTTAATATTGTGTGCCTATAATTATTATAATATGTATACATTTACTTTTAAATATTTTTGTTTTATTTTTTTTAAATATATAATTACAAATTAAAATAATTTTTATCATTAAATAACATAATATAAATAAGCCGAAATCTACAGATCATTATTTCATTTAATTGTACTATTCATTTATTTTTAAGTACATTTTATAATATCTACATCATTTATATTAATTAATATTTAAAAAGGAATTAAATTATAATTTAGTTGCTCGTTTTACTAGCACAACATAATAGTTTATTATGTTTACAGGTTTGATTTTAAGTTCATACACGAAAATTCAATGCACACATTTTGAAAATGACCAGTTTGGTGTTCATATTAATTTAAGGAGTTACATTAAACAATATGAAAACAACGCACATTTTTAACCTATTCAAAAAAATGTACCAAATGTGTTACCTACCTATCCTTTTTATTTTTATTTTAAGTTTTGAACCAATATTCAATTTAGCTTTACCAAATAATATACCCAAAATAGTATGTTATATAAAAACAATATAATATATTATATACAATTTTAACTTCTTTAATTTTGTTAAAAAGTCAAGTCATATTATATATTATACTTTTTTTGTATCAAGACAAATTTGTGTCGAGTAAATGGGTAAAAATAATCATGTAAATGATACCAATCCATAATATGCTTAAGAATGCACTGTAGTTTACTTAATAAGAATTTGAATTGTTTGAAATTTAATTTACATTGCATCAATAATTTTTGAGGACCAACAAAAATGTTGAAAATAATGAACAAAAAATCTGATATTTGAGAGTAATCTCTTATAAATGTTGTTTAACGCACGATTAATTCCTATTGTGTTAAAAATTACCCTACCTATATTTACTAAATACTTTAATCAAATCCGCATATCGGTAGATCGCTATAAATCGTGACTATTTTAATGAAAATTCTTCAGTGCCTATAATATTATTATTTGATTACAATATTATAATGAAAATAATAAATTAAAGTGTTGTAAAAATTTAAATTGAATAGGAATAATATTTTAGCATTAAAATTCAATATATTATGTAGACAAATTTGTTTTTTGTGTATATATATATATATATTTAAACAAAAAAAAGCATAGAATAGATTTGTTTAGCTTTTAATCACTTAAATTTAATTATATACAAAAAACTTAATTTAGGACAGTAAATGTGAATACAAAATTTACACATTATATAATAATTACCTATTATTACTATAAATAATATTGTACTATGGCACAGTAAGTTTTATTCAATGTTTTATTCAAACAAATTTTTTTAATTGTTTACATTAAAAATAAGAATAATAATTTAAAAAAAATGATTTCATTGTTATTAAGACTCGAAAAAAATACATAACCATGAAGCCCACTTTTTATGTAAATGTGAATACATTTTTTTTCAGAGTTCAACATAAATGAAGAAAAAAAAAAATCATGAGTTTAATCACTTTTTCCATTTTGTACAAAATCTTGTTTTTTCTCCCAAAAAACATAATAGCGTGAGGAGTTCGCATTAAAATTGTTGGTTCTTATTGAGTGTAAAATTACGTACAATTATGTTTAGGTATTTATTTACCCATTTTTTTTTTTTTTGTTTTTATGTATTTGTTTTTTTTTTTTAATTTATTATTATTTTAGTAATATATTTATAGGTTTATTTTGTACAAATGTTAAAAAAAAATCCTTGTAAACAAATTCTGTTCTAGTCATAGAAATTTATATTTAAACAATTATTACTAAATATTATAAAATAATAATTAACTACTTATATAAAAAATAATAATAAAAAAAACAACAAATTTAGCTTTGACTAAATTATTACAATTCTATTTGAAATTCAAGAAAATGTTTTATTGTAATTATTTAACTTTATAACAAAAATATAATGTTTTTTTTTTTGTATTTTATTCGTTCAAACAAAACATTCCTACCTATCATATATTCAATACATAAAAAAAGATTTTTGGTTTTAAACTTTTACCGTATGTTATAGTTAAGGCTAGGTATATTTTCTATGCAAAATTCTCATATACTTCCACATTATGATCAATTTCACACGTTAAAACAATACCCAACAAGTTAAATGTTGTTAAGAAGTATTTTATATTTGACCATATGGTTTTATTTATTTCAAAAGTTTCAAACATTTCTATATAGGTACCTAATAAAATTCATTATATAGGTATTAAAATTATTTGTCCTATGAATTCAGCAGTGTAGGTTAAATTCTATATTCATTATATTTACCTATGTAAGTGTCGGTATTTTTATAATATTACTTATTATTTCAGGTATCTGTTTCCAGTAGGAACTGTTAGCACTGTAAATATTATAGTAATTTTAAAAAAAAGACACTTGCTTACATACTTTGTACGACGTCTAAAATATTCTCAATTAGCTAATCAAAATTATATTAGACCTGTTAAAATAACACATTATTATCTTTATAATTATAATCAAATATTATAACTTCATTTAAATAATAGATACTGTTACCTATTGTTTTTTATTAGGTTTGTTCTGTGATTTTACTGTCAAGTCTCAAATGCCAATAACAGTTAATTACCTACTGTACCTATTACACAGATTTGTAAATAAATATTGTGTAATCAATTTTTCAATTTAAAAATAATGAATATTTCTAGCCATAAATGGCTGTGTCTACAGTCCATAGTATTTTTACCTTATAGCATTTGGTAAAGTCTATCGATAGTTTTCAATCAGTAATAGCACTGACTGATTTTGACTACCAATAGTTCAAAAAACAACTGAGTACTTTTTGAACTGAATAGATAGTGTTGATAGTCAATAGTTTTTAAAAACCATATATAAAAATCCAAAAAAAGTACATTTTAAAATTTAGGTCCTCCATTATAAAAAACCCCTCCCTTGAAAGAATTGGCCAATGTGTATACTATTATATCCATTTTGCCCAAAGTATATATTCATCTATATATATTTATTTTTTTTATCTGATTACTCTATTATCAACTATAAAAACTAATTATTTGAAATTGTAATGTCAATTAATTTGGTTTGTGTCTTTATGAAGAAAATACTTTGAAATTTAAGTAATTCTAATCAACTTAAAGTACACAGGTATAACTAAAGTATAGATATTTAAATTCATTTTTAAAGGTAAACATTGAAATAAATAGATACAAAACTTTATCAATATATGTGTCCCATATATTTATAATTATTTATTTATTATTTATAATTTTCAAAAAAGAGTACAATTTCATGTACTTAACAATAAAAAGGACATAGGACAATGCATTAAAAAACAGTACTGTCCTAGGAAAAAAAGTGCGTCTGGTCACCATATATATATACCTGATATTGATTTAATGTGTGCCTATATAGTTATGTTACATTTGATAAAGAACTTTTTTTAAATTCCTAGTGGAGTGACAAATTTATTGGTAGATATACATTAAATTTCTCTATTACCCTACTTCATGCCTATAACTGGCCTACCAATCGTGCAAAGTATGTCTATTTGATTTTTTTAAATGTACTTACCTATGTTATAATATAATCCATAATAAGATTAAGTACCTATCTATAAAACAAAAAATAAAAATAAAATTGCTAAATGCTTCAACATATTATGTATTACCTATCTATATTATTTTATCAATTTTTGGGTGCTTAGTGCTAACATATTTGTATTTATTTTAAAAAATACACCATAAAATGTACAATGTACCTGCATTATCAAAATAGAACAAATTTATTTGGCCGGTACTCTGATAAGTTTAATAATAAAAAAATTAGCAATAAATGCATTTTGAAAAAGTAATATAGGTAGATATTTAAAATAAAATGTTCAATCATCTGCTCCATTATTTAATTTTTTTAAATTTAATTTCTTCATATTCAGTTACTATATCAGGTACTGTTTACAACAAATATATTTTTCAAAAAATAAACATTTTGTTGATAACATAGAATGTGTTTTTTCATTAAAAACCTGATTGTGTACTTACTTAAAATTAATAATTTAAATAGTTACCTACCATTAAATGTTGTTAAAAGTTTTGTCTTGAATTTAGCCTTAATTTATATGGCTTTGAACAATTGTAATATTCTACAATAATATTTCCAATTTTTGACCCATCAGGTCCATTTTTACGTATCTATGTACAGTATTTTTAAATTTGTATAAAAACATTGTAGGTATTGTTTTTAAGAAATGGTATCTTTGGATTTCTATTTAAAATTGCCAATTTTAAATTTTTAAATAATTGTTTTCGATGTAATATTTCTAAATATGCTTATATGTTTATAGACGATAAACACGATGCACTGTAATGTAGCTACGTATAGGTACCACGTAATGCGGAATGCTGGACAGAATTTCAGACTATACCCAACATTTCGGGAGAAAAATAAATATATTATAATAACCTACCTAAGTTGCCTACTAATGTTGTATCATTGTACCGTCACGCGCATAAGAATATTAAATGATAGGCAAGCTAAAGCGTAAAGCTTATGATGTACAAATCATTGGTAATGACTATCAGATGTCACTGTATAAAAATATATGCTTATCTACATTAATTGCATATAGCTATACTCTATGGGTAGATAATTATGTATTATATTATTGTACATAAGTTATATATGGGAAATTTACTGTTTCAGTATATTTCAAAGTATAGGTAAGTAATTGTTAATGTCAAATGATTATAAATAGCTGAACAATTTCCAAAACGTTTTAGCAATCTTACCTGGTAATACAAAGTTGATCTTTGATCATGAACCAACAATTTTACTGGAAGACTTTAATTGAATTTGTTTTTTGTTTTTTTTTTATACAAAAATACATACGCTGTAATGTCCCGGACCAGAAATTTCCGGAATGTCACGCGCAAGAATAATCCGGAATTTCAAAAAAACACTATCGATATTGATAACCGTGACACCGGGTCTGGGCACGTCTATCTATCACTGATGAAATCGCGAACCTTCGTTTATTCCGTTTGTACCGTGTATGCGAAACATCGCAACGTATCAGTGTTTTTTTTTTTTTTTTTT